TTAAGTCAACAGTATATTTATATAAATTTTGTAGAAATCACATGTAGGTAAAGTATACTGTGCCTGAATTTCATGTTTTAGACATTTCAGTAGATAAGGAACACCATATGCATTAAAATTGGATCTTTGTGATCCCTGTGCACAGTTAGTCCGTGCCCTGTACACCACTGTTAATGCTATTGAGGTGACAGAGTGTGTCTGATTTTTCCTTTCTTCTCTCCTTTGTTCATCTAAATATAGTGAATAGTCCTCCACCTTGAGTCCCTCCTATGAGCCACATCCATAATTTATGGACTGTTATATGTTTATTTTCAGAAATAACGCAAAAGTAGTTTCTCTGAAAATAAAAATAACAGCATCGGTTCCTAATGAAAGATTCTGAGAAAAAGACAAGCTGTTGAAATTTTGGAACAATGTGAGGAATAGGCAGAGGTGGTTTTCATTGGTGGGGATCCTGGGAAAGGAGAGCGGTGCAGACCCAGAATGAGCGCTCTCGGCAGTTTCCGCCTCCGGGGAGTCTGTGCCTGGTTTTGCTCACCGTTGTGTCCCTAGCAGCTCGCACAGTGCCAGGCACAGTAATAGGCACTCAGTAAATGTTTGTTGAATAAATAAATGCTATTTTAGCTTCCTGCCCAAGGATTTGGCACCCAGAACAGTATTGTGATAATCACTGCATGAATTTCCTCTTAAAAAACACAAAGGTGCTGCTTGTTTTTGTTTCCTTTGAGACCTAAGGCTTGAAAAATCTCTTTGATATCTGACATTCAGAGGAAAAGTTGAGTGCTATTACCCCAAAAGGGAACATTTTTGTTTGTGCTAAGTGTGGTTGGCCAGCTTTAAAAGACACAAATAGAAGTTACTAACAAGGAACTGTTTTCTGGTCTGCAGAGTGAAAACAGCATAGGGTAATACAACTTTGTTTGTGTAGTATTTTACGTACATAGTTTCCTTATTTCCATATGCCTTTTATAAATAGAAGATAGGCTAAAGCAGCAGAAAGTATAGCAAACCATCTAGTGACAAAGTGGCTTTTGCTTTTTCTTTTTAACTTAATTTTTTTTATTGTAAAATGCACATAAAATTTACCATCAGTGACCTCTAGGCTATTCACAATGTTGTGCAACCATCACCACAATCTAGTTCCAGAATATTTTCATCACTCCAAAAGGAAGCCTTGTACCCGTTTAAGGAATCACTCCTATTCCTTCCTTCCCCAGCCCCTGGCAACCATAACCTCCTTTCTGCCTACTCCGGGTATTTCATATAAATGGAGTCATACAATATGTGGCCTTTTGTGTCTGGCTTCTTTCACTTAGCATGTTTTCAACTTTTGTCCATGTATTTTGCTTTTAAAATCAGTTTTAAGAACAATTTATCATTGGGTATGTTGGTTAATTGACCTTTTTGGGGAAAAAAGATTAGCTCAAAACCAGGTCATTTAAGAGGCACCAGATACAGTGTATTTAAACCTAAAGGGAAAAGAATGCCCCTCCATTTTTTAAAAGTTTGGTGTTTTATCAGGAAAAGTATAGTGGTACCTAGAGTGGTACTGTCCAGTGGAACATTGTGCAACAACGGAAATTTTCTATATCTGTCCTGTCCTGTATCGTAGCCAGTAGCCACATAGGCCATTGAACACTTGAAATGTGGCTAAAGCAGCTGAGGAAGTGAATTTTTAATCTTATTTAATTTTTCTTTTAAAGATTGGCACCTGAGCTAACATCTGTTACCAATCTTTTTTTTTTCTTCTTCTTCTTCTCCCCAAAGCCCCCTAGTACATAGTTGTACATTCTAGTTGCAGGTCCTTCTAGTTGTGGCATGTGGGATGCTGCCTGAACATGGCTTGATGAGCAGTACCAGGTCCGCACCCAGGATCCGAACCAGGGAAGCCCTGGACTGCCAAAGTGGAGTGTGCAAACTTAACCACTTGGCCACAGAGCCTGCCCCATTTTTTTTGTTTAAAAAATATATCATACAGTAAAATTGACTTCTTTTTGGCCTACAGTTCTATGAATTCTTTTTTTTTTTTTAGTTCGGTGAATTTTAACACACATATGGATTTGTTTAACCACCACCACAACCAGGACAGCACAGTTTCGTCACCCCCAAATCTCCCTTGTGCTGCCCTTTTATAGTCACTCCTACCCCACCCCTCATCTGTTCTCCATCTTCCCTTTAGTTTGAATGGTTAAATTTTTTAAAGTAATTTTCTTAATTAGAAAATAATTGACCTCAGGGGACTGAGATTAGAGTTTAAAAGAGAATCTCTCCAAAGATACAAAGACACAAAAGCCTTCCTTTTGTGGTGGCTATATTTATGTTACATCTCTTTCAAAAGTATATGTTTGAACTATATGACTGTTCTGTGGCTTTTTCATGGAAAATGTACAGTGTATTCCAAAACAAAATATAAATTATTTTCCCACGTCTTCTGTTTTGGATCATTTATGCTAGTGATCTCTTCCATAACTAAGAACAAGCTCACCAACTAGAATTAGCAGAGTCTTAGAAACTTTCCATGCCATGGGCACATTTCAAGATTTCACCAAATACGTAGCCGCTGATTACCAAGCTAAAAGAAGAAATAAAAATACTAAGTTCATTGAAATAAGTGAAAGATTTAACTATATATCTATTGTAGACAATTTAAAGTGAGATTTCCTACTCTGAATTACTTTTAATTATGTTTTGGAGTTGTTTTTAATTTATGGAACAAAGCTTTTTACCAGTAATCTATAATCGTCATCATCATCATCATCATCCCCATATTTTAACTGCTGTTAGAACATTAATATCCTACTGCCTCTCAGAATCAACAGGTCTAAAACGAAATACATCATCTTTCTTTACCCTTTCTTTACCCACTCCAACCTCTTAACTTCCTCAAATTTTCCTCTTCTGTCTCTGGTATCAGTTAATGGCACCATCTATCCACTGGCCCAAGTTAGAAACCCGTAAGTCATCCTAGTCATCTCCTTTATCCTCTAAAATCGCCTTATGAGGTCTTGCCCTCCTAAATGTATCTTGGAACTGCCTCTTTTCTCTTTACCCCCAGTGTTCATGCCTTAATTTAGAGCTTTTCTTATACTACTATTGGGATTGCAATAGCCCCCTAGCTGATCTCCTGTCCTCCTGTGCCACTCCATTTCACCCTGACATCATCTACTACAGTGCCTCCAAAATAATTCCTCTCAAAAATGCAAATATAATCGTCATTCTCCTACTTAACTTTTCCATGGCTCTCTATTACCTATAAGATAGATTACAAACCATTATTGGCATACAAGAGGCCCCATAATAAAGCAGTTGCCTAATTCTTCAGCCTGTCATCTTTCTCTACTTTTTGTGCTTCCATTTGTCTGGAATTCGCTGCCTCATGTAGCCTTGTAGATTTCTGTTTGTCCTTTAACATTCAGGTATTATCTCCCCTAAGAAGCCTTTTCTGACCCATATTCCCAGAGATGAATGGGTGTCCGTTTTCTGTATTCTCTGTTCTAGTGTTGCTGCCTGTGACTATGTCATGCTCAGCTTTGGATCCAGAGAATTCCTGTTCCAGGCAATATAATAACTGCTCAAAAAATATCAATTATTCAGGGGCCGTCCCTGTGGCCAAGTGGTTAAGTTCACGTGCTCTGTGGCAGCGGCCCAGGGTTTCGCCAGTTTGAATCCTGGGCATGGACATGGCACCGCTTGTCAAGCCATGCTGAGGCAGCATCCCACATGCTACAACTAGAAGGACCCACAACTAAAATATACAGAACTATGTACCGGGGGGCTTTGGGAGAAAAAGGAAAAAATAAAATCTTAAAAAAAATGAATTATTCAGTGCTTATTTTTATATAACTCGCTGCTGCAAAGAGCTACTTTCCTATCTATTTACTCATATGATCCTTATAACAACCCTGGAAGATAATAGGGCATATTTCCCCATTTTTCAGTTGGTAGAAGTAATGAGTGGCTGGCTAATAAGTGGAGAATTGATGCTGGAACTTAAATCTTCTGACTCCCAACCCAGTGTGTGTGTGTATGTGTGTGTGTGACTACATCATAAATCTTTGTAAGATGTCATCCAAAGAGATGCATGCAGTCATGGTAGTTAAATTATGTACAGTAGATGAATTTTAAGAATACAATCATTGTTTTTATAATCAAATCAGGCAAAATGATAAAGACGTTCTTATTTGAACAAAAGTGATACTAGGCTGTAGTGACTTAGAAGGATATAGGAGTAATATGCTACAAAACCCTATCAATATTGCCTTCATTCGTACACTAGCATGTTTATATCTTTTGTTGCCAACAAAGTTACCTTAATTGAACATTTTAAAAGTTTAAACTTCGTATCACCTTTGTTTTCTATAGCTGATCTTGTTTCCTATATTACCTTTTGAATTAATAGAGTGTGAATTATTGGAGTAATTTGTGAAAGGGGGTGGTAGGAAAGAGTAGTTTGTACTGTGTTGTGAAATTCTCAGGTGTATTTGTCCAAGCGCACGTTTCAAATGCCTGATCAGTACCTGAGTCACGTACACCTACATATAGCTTTACCATTCCTGTAGGTACACAAGATGTTTTATGTTTCTTTCCAAAGAGAATAGTACAGATGAGAACTAGGGCCTGGCCCCATGGTGTAGTGGTTAAGTCCAGCATGCTCCACTTTGGTGGCCTGCGTTTGTGGGTTCAGATCCCAGGCGCAGACCTACACTCATCAAGCCATGCTGTGCTGGCAACCCACATACAAAATAGAGGAAGATTGGGACAGATGTTGGCTCAGGGCTAATCTTCCTCAAGCAAAATAAAAAAAAAAGAGGAAGATTGGTAAGAGGTTAGCTCAAAGCAAATCTTCCTCACCAAAAAGAAAAAAAAAGATGAGAACTAATAGAGAAACTCCATTAGATTGAATTGTTTCATTCTTTTAAAATGTAGTGCCATGATTGCTATTTTTAAGTTCTATGTCATGGAATTTAATTAAACTGACTTCTGAAATTTCCTTCCAAAAGGTTTCACTGGAAGAAAAATGTGCAACTATTATTTATGACCCTAAACTACAGACTCCAAAGACCCTACAGGAAGCTATTGATGATATGGGCTTTGATGCCATTCTCAACCATCCTAACCCTCTGCCTGTTTTAACTGACACCGTGTTTCTCACTGTTACTGCTTCACTGTCTCCACCATGGGACCATATCCAAAGTACATTGCTCAAGACCAAGGGTGTGACAGACATTAAAATTTCCCCTCAGCAAAGAACTGCAGTGGTGACAATAATCCCTTCTGTAGTGACTGCCAATCAGATAATAGAGCTGGTTCCAGATCTCAGTTTAGATATTGGAACTCTGGAGAAAAAGTCAGGAACTTGTGAAGATTACAGTATGGCTCAAGCAGGTGAAGTCATGGTGAAGATGAAAGTGGAAGGGATGACCTGCCATTCCTGCACTAGCACGATTGAAGGAAAAATTGGGAAACTGCAAGGTGTTCAGCGAATTAAAGGTAATGTATCTGGTGTTATTTCTTTGATTGTTTTGTAAGGCTTAGTTTTCTGTTTTGGCCTTTTAACTTTTTGCTTGCTTTATAAGCCTGGGCTTTGAATCCATGGGACTAGAATACTCACTGCTTCATTGAAATCTGAAGTACAGCATATTACCAGGATTAATGTCAGTAAAGGTAATGATTATACTTAAAACTTACATGAGTCTTGAACTAGCAGCATAGCTGGGGTGGCGGTTCATGGAATTCATAGTTCTCAACACAGTATGCCTGGGGTCCTCTTTACCTGTAATATATATTTATTCAGGCATGCAGAAAGTTGGAGACTATAGATCTAGTGGCCATATCTTTTACTTTTTTCCAGTCTATATCAATAACATTTTTGGAAAAGAACAGAATTATTTTAAGAAAGGATAATGACGACAATGAGAGAAAAGCAATCATGTGTGGTATTGACTTGGTCTACAGAATGTTTTCTGAAGTGGCCCAGGAGTAACTGAATTTCAGTAATTTTTCTTTTTATTAACTAGTCTCCCTGGACAACCAAGAAGCTACTATTGTTTATCAACCTCATCTTATCACAGTCGAGGAAATCAAAAAGCAGATCGAAGCTGCGGGCTTTCCAGCATTCATCAAAAAACAGCCCAAGTTCCTCAAATTGGGAGCTATTGATATAGAACGTCTCAAGAACACACCAGTCAAATCCTCAGAAAGACCACAGCAAAGGAGTCCATCATGTACCAATGATTCAGCAGTCACTTTCATCGTAGATGGCATGCATTGTAAATCATGTGTGTCAAATATTGAAAGTGCTTTATCTACACTCCAATATGTAAGCAGCGTAGTAGTTTCTTTAGAGAATAGGTCTGCCATAGTAAAGTACAATGCAAGCTTAGTCACTCCAGAAACCCTGAGAAAAGCAATAGAGGCTATATCACCGGGGCAATATAGAGTCAGCTTTCCAAGTGAAGTTGAGAGTACCTCAAACTCTCCCTCCGGCTCCTCTCTTCACAAGATTCCTTTGAACATAGTTAGCCAGCCTCTCACTCAAGAAACCGTGATAAACATTGATGGCATGACTTGTAATTCTTGTGTGCAGTCTATTGAGGGTGTCATATCAAAAAAGGCAGGTGTGAAATCCATACGAGTATCCCTTGCAAATGGCAATGGGACTGTTGAATATGATCCTCTACTAACCTCTCCAGAAACTTTGAGAAAAGCAATAGAAGACATGGGATTTGATGCTACTTTGTCAGGTAATGATTACTTTTTCCTTTCATTCCCCTAATGTTCTTTTGTCTCCATTTTGCTTTTATCAATGAGAAATGAATAATAGGCACTGCAATTGCACTTTTTGGAAATAAGTCTTATGGAAGTAGCCAGCAATATATACAAAGATGCATAAGGATGTTTGCGTAATTACTTATAATATTTAAAAACTAGAAGCATTAAATTGTGAAATATCCATATGATGAAATTCTATGAAGCCATAAAAAATCATGGTATTAAAATACTTAATGCAACAGGAAAGTGTCTGAGATACTTCGTTAAATGAAAAAAAAAATAAGCTTAAAACCTGTATGAATATGATCAAAATTTTATAAACACATGTAAAAGGATTTATACCATGTATATGTTACTTGTGTATATAAATGAATAAAATTCCTGGTAGGATATGAACTAAAATTTTAACAGTGGTTATTTCTGAGTGGTAAGATAAAGGTGAAAGTTTTTCCATTGTGCTTTCTTAAGTATTTTAAGTTTTTTTGTGACAAGGATGTATGTATGTATATATTTATGCATATGTAATGGGAGAAGCTAATGTTATTTTAAAAAGAAAAAGGGCATGAATGAATAATAGAATTTTAACCATGGTTTTAAATTTAGGCATTCAAATTAAACTAACTCTAGAACTAGCCTAAAGTCTTCCTGTTTCCTGACAGCTCTTACCTTGAACTGAAACCAAAAATATATCCAATGGAATTTCCCTATGTGAACTTGTTGTTTTGAACTAGAATTGAACCTAGGCTTAAATTAAACTGGAAGTGCCCTAATGAAATTTCTTGCTGTAAGGAACAATGCAAAAGTTGTCTAATTTCCAGACAATGTTATTAACCTTTGCCGTTCTTATCAGAATGAAGGATATCAAATAGCAGTATTTTCTTTCGAAGCTCACTAAAACTGAGAAGCATAAAAAATTATATTAAACACATGCTCAAATTATTATGGTAGGTAAGTGTCATTGGAAGAAGACCCAGAGACATTCCAAACATTCTGAATTTTCGTATTCATGACAAATGGTAGAAATTATAGAATTCTCACTTTTTAAAGATATAGTTCACATACCATAAAATTCTCTCTTTTACAGTACACAGTCCAGTGGTGGTTAGTGTATTCACAGTTTTATGGCCATTACCACTATCTAATTTTAGAACATTTTCATCACCTCCATAACCATTAGTAGTCACTCCCGTTTCCTCTTCCCCTCCCCCAGCCCGTTATCTACTGTTCTATTTTCTGTCTTTATGAATTTGACAACTCTAGGTACATATAAGTGGAGTCATGGAATATTTGTCGTTTCGTGTCTAACTTCTTACACTTAGCATAATGTTTTCAAGGTACACAAATGTTCAACCATGTTTGTAACATGTACCAGCACTTCATTCCTTTTTGTTACTGACTAGTATTTCATTGTATGTATATGCCTCATTTTGTTTCTCTGTTCATCAGTTGATGGAAATTTGGGTTGTTTCCACTCTTTGGGCTATTAGGAATGATGCTGCTGTGAACATTTGTTTAAGGTTTTTACATGAATATGTGTTTTTATTTTTCCTGTGTATATACCTAGGAGTGGAATTTCTGGGTCATATGGTGAATATGCTTAACTTTTTCAGGAACTGCTAAGCTCTTTTCTAAAGTGGCTGCACCATTTTACATTCCCACCTAGAATTCTCACTTTAATAAAGAAAATCTCAAACGACCAAGATTCTTGTCCTCTAAAAAACATACATAATTCCCTATTAGAAAATTCATAGAGAATACTAAAATGTTAAAGAGCTTCCAGTACTAAAAGTCTGAACAAAGTCTAGGAAATCCATAATTGAAAAAGTAAATAATTATGAAATCAGAAGAAGAATTTAAATTGGAAATATTGGAAGTGAAACTCTATCAGGTAGCCATAAAAAATGACTAAAATTAGTTTCAGCAAAATTTAGTTGTATCTATCTTTGCTTACAATTTTTAAAATTTTCAAAATGACAGTATTTGAAATTATATTAATTCATATTTCACTAATTCATAATATTGAATTATTCCTCAGAGTTTCTATTAAATTAAAATACTTTGGCATACATGATACATTATGTTGTCAATGATGGACACTACATAAATAAATTTAGTTTACATCAATATCAAACAAATTACTTACTCTGTGATATTCCTGTTCCTCTTACATATAGATACCCAAATCCTATCAACTTATATCGCATATGGGATAAAATTGAAATATTTTTCACAATCAAATCTGGTGTCTGTCATTACCGTAAGCAAGGACCTCACAAACTTTAAGACTAGACCCCAAAATGGAATTTGTCTTATTCACTTGGGTCTGTATTTTTGCCACTAAAAGCATGGTTCACAGATCAGCAGCATCAGCATCACCTGGGAGCTTGTTAGAAATACAGACTTTCCGGCCCGCTGCAGACCCATTAAATTAAAATCTAAATTTTAATTTTAATAAGCTCTCTAGGGAATACATATGCACATTAAAGTTTGAGATGCACTGGTCGGAATAATTTGCTGCATTGACCTCTGTGAATAAAATCTCAATTAAATCTATATTAACAGTGTTCATATAAGGCAATAAAAATGTAATAGTAAATAATAAATTTTAAATAGCTAGCGTTTGTAAAGTTTTATATAACAAATGTGAGCAGAGCAAAAGCAACTTTCTAATTACTTTACGTGGCTCCCAAGATGGACTCGAGCAATAGGAGAAATTGTGATCTGACTAGTAAGTGGAATTCAAGAGTACTTGATAGTCTCTGGCACCAGGTCTCTCCTCTGCCTAGTCCTCAGGAACCATGAATGCAACACGTTCAGTAACTTTTTACAATAAATTTTACCTCAACCTACAATTGTCAAGAGCCCCAGGAATCGATTATTCAAACAAATAATTTCTAGGAACCTGTTATGTGCCATGAATCTATTAGAACTCGTAACAAACACATTAATGGCCGTGAGGAATAGGTAAAAAACCTTGGCATGGTGAACATCACTATAAAAGAATTGACTACAGTGACCCATATTATTGGGATAAAAGATTCACATCAAACGACTGCATTCTGTGTTTCTACTAGAAATCAATGAGTTTAAGATGCCACCAGAATGTGGCTACCCATTTTCTGAATGTGTCAGTGCTGATCCAGGCTTCACAGTCTACCACTATGACCCATTCTCAGACAGAGAGGGATTGGCACATTTCATCTTCATGTCAAACTAGTCCTGGGTGTGCTGTAAATGTTAAAGGAGGGAGCGAGGGGCCGGCCCAGTGGCACAGCGGTTAAGTGCGCACGTTCCGCTTCAGCGGCCTGGGGTTTGCCGGTTCTGATCCTGGGTGCGGACGTGGCACCGCTTGGCAAGCCATGCTGTGGTAGGCATCTCACGTGTAAAGTGGAGGAAGATGGGAATGGATGTTAGCTCAGGGCCAGTCTTCCTCAGTGAAAAGAGGAGGATTGGCAGCAGTTAGCTCAGGGCTAATCTTCCTCAAAAAAAAAAAAAAAGAGGGAGTGAGAAGAATGGGAGTTGCTTTTTATCGTGACCATCAATCTCCTCATTCTCTTAAAAAGACATCATATATGAAGTTGTTCTTTTTTTTAAAAAAAGATTTTATTTTTCCTTTTTCTCCCCAAAGCCCCCTGGTACATGGTTGTATATTCTTAGCTGTGGGCCTTTCTAGTTGTGGCATGTGGGACGCCGCCTCAGCATGGCTTGATGAGCGGTGCCATGTCCGCGCCCAGGATTCGAACCGGCAAAACCCTGGGCCGCTGAAGTGGAGTGCGTGGACTTAACCACTCGGCCACGGGGCCGGCCCCTATAAAGTTAAGTCTTCACTCACCAATTAAAGCAAACAAAATACTCAAATTCCTTTCCTTTTTTGTAACTTTTTAATCTTTAACTAATTTCAAACTTACAGAAAAGCTGAAAGAATAGTACAAAGAATTCCTGTTAACCAATTTCACTCAGATTCCCCAGTTGTTAATATTTTACATTTGTTTTATCGTTGTCTTTCTCTGTCGATAGATAGACAGACATACGTACACACACACCCACCTATGTACCACACATATATTTGTCTGCATCTTTTGAGAGTAGGTTGCAGAAATGATGTTTTTAATTTTTTTAAGCCATTTTTCTGATTATATATTTATTCCTCGCATTACTTCAGACACTAAACCTACCAGTTTTGAGGATCAGATTGGAAACCCTTCCTTGAAATTTTTGGACTCTTTTCTGATTGTTGCCTCAAGTGCAGGAAAGTCAACCTTCCTTTTGAATTCATTTAAGCATAAGTCATGTTGCTACAGCCTATAGAAAAGCTAATTTAAAGAAACTAGCCATTTAATTCAATGTGGCTTTTTAATACCTGCACTGCCTCTGTCGAAGATGGAAGCTTCTGCTTTTCTGCTTGCCACTCTCACTGGGGTAAAGGTCACGATTTTATGGATCCTCGTTGAGAGGTCATGCCAAGGTAGCTAAAAGTGACTACCTCTATGACTTAATTTAATACTGTACTTCTAGAGTGTGAAAATGGCAGATGGTATTCTGGGTTACCTCTGGTGCGTGAAATAACTAAATTACTCTGGAAGAAGACCTAAAGTAGTTGGCAGTGTAAACTTTTTTTTTCATTGTCCAAGTTCAAAATTAAGTCTTGATATAATTATGAGAGAATAAGTTAAACTCCTGGCTAGATTAAAATAATGGGTTTTTTCCAAAGCCAAAACTATTTTCTTTAGACAAATGAGCCTCTTTTTTGAATTCTTTAAGATAGTGGTACTATTTGGTAAATTTTGCCCTCTGTGTTCTAAACAGTGCTCTCATAATCTGAATGAATGAGTATAGTTTTCTAAAATGATTCACTTAAGACCAGAGCCTGACTAATTTTGGAACTGGGAGAATGTAGTCCTTTGCTTTTCAGTGTTCTTTGCCATACCCAGACTGGCAGTACTGTCATCATCTGGGAGCTAGGTGGAAATATAGAATCTTAGGCCCCACCTTACATGTACTGAGTCAGAATCTGCATTTTGACAAGATCTCCCAGGTGATTGTAGTTGCATTAAAACTTAAGAGCCATTATGATACTGATTTGAGAAGTCTAGATCATTATTCATTAGGGAAATGAGCTTTTTTTTTTTTTTTGAGGAAGATTAGCCCTGAGCTAACGACTGCCAATCCTCCTCTTTTTGCCGAGGAAGCCTGGCCCTGAGCTAACATCCGTGCCCATCTTCCTCTCCTTTATACGTGGGATGCCTACCACAGCATGGCTTTTGCCAAGCGGTGCCATGTTCGCACCCGGGATCCGAACCGGCGAACCCCGAGCCGCCGAAGCGGAACGTGCACACTTAACCGCTGCACCACTGGGCCGGCCCCGGAAATGAGCTTTTTAAAAAAGTTTCTTCCAAAGATGCCCTTCTTCACCATCCTGAAAACCAACTCTGCTATGCAGGGGTTCCTCTGTGAGCTAGTCAAATAGACCCGAACCAGCTTTTTGCCCAAGAGGAAGCAAGAACAAGTTAGATAGGTTAGTGGAAATTTCCATGTCACCTCTTCTCCTTCTCTCTGCAGGAGAGTAGAACATCTTTGGCTTTTTCGCAGGTGCATGGATGTGCTAGAGAGAGTAATGTCTCCCTGCTTGGGAGGGGGTTAATACTGCAATGGGGAAACGAAAGCATAACAGCAGACTTTCTGAGGCTGCCGGGGAGTTCTGGGATGCTAGGAGCTTCCGCTGTCCCGCAGTCCGTAAACATTCTATGCAGAGAGCCTCTGAGTACTCCTTTGTGCACAATGAAGGTTGCTGACTTCCTCCTTGCCTCTTCTTCCATTGTCCACAAAGATATTTTAATTTAAAAAATACTATATATTAGTGTTAAAAATTCAAACAATGCAGAAGTGTCTATAGAGGAAATGTGTTCATCTGTCATTCTCTTCCTGTCTTAACCCCGTTCCCCAGAAGTAGCCGCCATTACTAGTTTGGTATGTAGCCTCCCAGGCTTTCTCGTGCCTGTTCTCACGTATACATACACTCAAAAAGTTTTTTAAATGATATCATACTGTAATGTTGTTCTGTAAATTGCTTTTGTTCCACTTACTATAGCATGAATTGCTTTAATGCCAGTGTGCAAATCGTTAACATGATGATAAAAATTCATTATAAAAATAAGAGCTATTATCTGTTAACAAACTACTCTCTACCTGGGGTTTGGGAGGAGATAATGGCTGGAAGAACTTGATATGACAAAAGTTTTGTTTATTCAATTAGTTCAGATTTTCCTGAGAAGTAGGATGGGCAGTATTGATATTTGAAGTCACTTCCTGGAAAGTGTAAAGATAACATTGCTGAGGTCTGTAGGTCCAAGCTGGTTTTAAAGGAATGGATTGGCAGTACCTGGAGGTGTGGATTGTGATGAATGACAAGGCTGCAGCTGGAGAATACCTCAAATGAACAGAATCTTTCCCTGTCCACCAGATACAAATGAGCCGTTGGTAGTAATAGCTCAGCCCTCTTCAGAAGTGCCACTTTTGACCTCAACTAATGAATTTTGTCCTAAAACGATGACACCAACGCACGACAAGGAGGAGGCAAAGACTTCATCTAAGTGTTACATACAGGTCACTGGTATGACTTGTGCTTCCTGTGTAGCAAACATTGAGCGGAATTTAAGACGAGAAGAAGGTAAGAAACTCAACGCCTGTTACTTTATGTACTAGTTTGAGGACTCTGTCCTTTTTGTCCTCTTATGTGTTTTGTAACCATGTTTATGATTCTTTCCCAGGCCTCATAAAGACTATTGGTCATGTGTAGGACAGCATTGACGTCCTGACAGCCAGTTTTTATTAGTGTTTTGTTCCCTTAGATGTAATTCCTTTATAGTGCCTCATGATCACATTTTAACGTCAATGAAATTTGTGGGAAAATAGCAAAGGCAAATACAAAAGATTACTATCTTTTATGGACCTTGGCTGCAATGAATTTTAAGAAACATAAATTTTCTGATAAAGCTATGCTTAACACTAACAACTAGGATCCATAAGTTTTAATATTACTATACCCAGACCAAAAACAAGTTTGTTTAGAATTATTGTTCTCTTCCAGCAGTTTTATTGCTGATTTTTGCTTGCAGTAAAAATGTTCAAAAGTTACTTAATATTATGTACAAGTTTTAATTTTAGTTTACAAAATCTTAGGAAATCTACAACATTTTTTTATTCAGTCATACTCAGATGTTTTAGCTTATAAATTTGCACTGCACTCATAATAATAAACGTCACAGTATGGCATAATAGATTTGTTAACCATACAGATATGTGATTATGTTTAATGAGATTGAAGTCATAGGTTTGGTACTTAGGCAGCCCGAGCCCCTAGTATCTTAATGATACATGTTATTAGTCACAAGGGCCGAATAAGTAAAATTAGTATAAGTTTATCCTCACTATTGGGGAAATAACTCAAAGTTTATATAGTAATAGTACAGGCCTGTGGCCAGTAGAGTCATCTTATATATAAGGGCCAGAACATTATTATAACAAAATGTATGTTATACAGAGCCTTCTTCAGCTCAATAGTCTGTCTGCATTTTGTCATTTCTGCATCCTTCATTTCAGCCTCCATTATATCTATCTAATTAGAATGCAGTCAAGGCTAAAGCTTATATTACACTTTGATTAAAAAAGAAAAGGAGGGAAGTTGCAAGCAAATGAAAGTAAAAAGTTTGCAAGGTTCCTCTTTAATTTTGGAACCAACTATTTTCAGGCAATTCAGAAATAGCCTTTTTCATGAGACAAGCAATGCCTATGCCAATTACAAATCTTTTTTTAAACAAATCCGTTTGCCTGAATCTTCCAATTATTTCCTACTATCCCCTTTACCACGTCTTAACCCAATTAGGAAATACCATTCGCCTAGCTGGGGTCACTACATTCACTTTTATTTTTAAACTAAGTAACACTGGTCTTTCCTCCATTTAGTCTGCATTACATTTCTAAAAATGAATAGAAAGAGTTCTAATTATAGTTTGAAGTAAGAATTTTAAAAATTATCCATAATTTTGTTTAATTATGAAATATATTTTGAAATCAGATTTTTCCTTCTATTTCTGTTTGGCTTTAGATTACATTCAACTGGAGTAAAAAGATTTTTTCTACTTTCTCTCTATCCTTCTCTTATTATTGACACTTTCCCATGAAGTGATCCTCTCAATTATTTGGTACCTGCCAAGCCCAGAGTGTAAGCATGTTATATAGAAAACTTAGATTATATTAGGTACTCTGTTTTCTTCTTAAAAACTATTACTAGGTTAATATTTGGTGGGTTTTGTTTGTTTTTTTTTTTTTTTTTGGTCAATCCCCAGAGATGACCTCTGGACCATTGATCCCTTCCCCTGTCAGGTAGCTACAGATTCCTAGAAAGAACTGCCCTTTCTGCTATGCGGAGTTAATTTTCTTCCTGGTAACAAGAGCAATCGCTGGCCTAGAGAAATGGGACAGTTGTTAACAAAAGGCTTGCACAGAGAACAGCAGGACTGCCGTAAAATGAACTCCTTTGTTCTGTTAACAAGTTGTGTGGCACTTTTTCCCCTGGGAATAAGAGCGTTTTAGATTAGTGAGTGTCAGACATAAAACTTGAGAATTTCAAGAAATGACCATTACTTGATAATATCATAATGTGTACATTGGTACATTCTTGGATTCTTTCTACAACTGCAGTGATTTCCTAAGTATATGAGTTCTTTTCTCTAGGACTCTGTCATATTAGTTTCTAAAAATGCTTGTATTTACGTGATAGGATCTCAACCGAATGCAATTCATGAGCCTTGTTTGGGTCCCCATTAAAACCAACTGTGTTAAAGTAATAAACAGTTATGAGACAATTGTGGAAATGTGAATACTGATTGGATATTTGATAATATTGAGGAATTATTTTATTTTAGGTGTGACAATGGTATTATGGCTTTTTTTTAAAGAAGAATCTATCTTTTACAGATACGTATTTAAATATTTACATATGAAATGATATGATGTCTTGGATTTGCTTCAAAATAATCAGAGTTGAGGGCAGGGAGAAAGTGGGTGGGATATAAATGAAACAAGATCAGGCCAGTATTATTGATAGTTGTTGAAGCTGGGCGATGGGTCCATCAGGTTTATTATGTTATTCTCTCTTTTGTGTGTATATATATATAATTGAAAATTTCCATAATAAAAAGTTTAAGAAAATAAGGCCCTGTTTTCACATAGTTTTATTTGGTTTTGGTTCAAGACGGTGTAAAAGTTAAGTAATAAATTTCTCCAGATTCACGTTAATCCTTTCACAGTTAAATGAAAAAATAAACTACTATAACATTACTCTTTTTATAAGGAATGTATTCTGAATTGTTTTTCTCATCAATGCTCCTAGGAATATATTCTGTACTTGTGGCTCTGATGGCTGGCAAGGCAGAAGTAAGATATAATCCTGCTGTCATACAACCCCCAATTATAGCTGAGTTCATCCGAGAACTTGGGTTTGGAGCCACTGTAATAGAAAATGCTGATGGCGGAGATGGCATTTTGGAACTTGTTGTAAGTAAGAATTTTTGTGTGATTTAATAAAACTTCCAGAAAAAACATGGTGAAGATTGAGAAAAGAGTCCAAAAGATAATTAAAGGTTGGGAAAATAAGACATAAAAGGAAAATTAAGGAAACTGGAAAATGAAAAGATTAAATATGACTTAATGGTGGCCTTCAAGCATAGAATGTAAAAGATAATCATATATCTCTATTAAGAACCAAAAAAGAAGAATTGGGTTTGAATGAATAAATAAAAATCAACATTTCAAATATAGTATCTACCTAGTAGCATGTGAAAGAATAAATTCCAGATGCATTAAAGACTTGAGTTTTATAATTGAAGTCATAAAGCCAGCTGCAGGGCCTATTTGTTTAAAATGGTTATTTTCTCCAACCACGCAATTCAAGTTTTATTCATATAACTTAAACAATTAAAACAAAAAATTTAACCCTGTACCAAAGTAAGTTCCAGCTCGCAAAAAAATTTGAATGGAAAAATTGAAACCATGAAATTACTAGATGAAGTATTTGGAGCCTTTTTTTTCAATATTTTCTTATAAAAATCTCAGACATCAGAAAAGTCAAAAGAGTTGTATAGTGGATACCCTCATACACACTACTTAGATTTTACAATTCCATCAGTCCATCAATCCATTGTGTAAATAATTTTAGACTCACAAAGAAGTTGCAAAAATAGTACAGGGAATTTCCATGTAGCCTCTTCTCAGCCTTCCCCAGTGATAACATCTAATCCATCCTTTAAAAAATACCAGTAGGAAGGGCCTTTCTAAATATCACATCAAAACTCATAAAAGAAAAGATTGATAAATTCAGGTATATAAAAATTTCTTCTTGGGATAAAAACACCATAAATAAATTCGAAAGGCAGGTAAAATAATTGTAATTCATATCATAGATGAAGGTTAATTTTCTTAATATATGAAGAACTGTTATAAATCAATAAGAAAAGAGCCAACAACCCAAAAGAAAGATGGCAAAGGATGTGAATTGGCATTTCATGGAAGAGCCAAAACAGTGCCTCCTTAAAACATATGAAAAGATGTTTAACCTCACTTGTAATAAGAGTAAAGCAAATTAAAACTACATCGAAATGCCATTTTTCATCTGTTAGATTGGTAAAGATAAAAAACAACTTTTTAACCCTGTGTGATCTCTCATCTATTGCTGGTGGAATGTCAGTTGATACAAGTTCTCAGCAGAGGACTTTGGCAATATCTATCAAAAGTAAAGTCACACATAGCCTTTGCCTCAGAAGTTCCACTCGTAGGAAGTTATCCAACAGACATATCTGCATATGTATGAAATGAAATGTGTACAAAAATGTTCGTTATATATTGTTTATAATAGCAAAAGATAGAAAATAACTAAATGTCAGTCATTGGGGACTAGGTAGCTAGATTATGGTACATCCATACTATGGGATACTAAGCAGCTATTAAAAAGAATGGGTAGGTTTTTATTTTTTAAAGACTTCTAGAAATTAATAGCTTTATTGAAATATAATTCACATACCCTAAAACTTGCCCTTTTAAAGTATACAGTTCAGTGGTTTTTAGTATATTCTCAGAGTTGTGCAACTGTCACCACTATCTAATTTCAAAGCATTTTCATCACTCCCAAAAGAAACCCCATACCTATTAGCAATCACTCCTCATTCTGGATGTTATTCATTTGAGTCTTTTCTTTTTTCCCTTGTTCAGTCTAGTTTGTCAATTTTGTCGATCTTTTTAAAGAACCAACTTTTGGTTTTATTGATTTTCTCTATTCTCTCTCTTGTTAATATTCACTCTAATCTTTATTAGTTCCTTCCTTCTCCTTGCTTTAGGTTTAGGTTGCTCTTCATTTTCTGGTGTCCTAAGGTGGGAGGTTAGGTTATTTATTTGAGATCTTTCTTATTTTTTAATATTAGCATTTACAGCTGTAAATTTCCCTATAGGCACTGCTTTCATTTCAGTTATTGTACTTTTCAACTCTAGACTTTCCACTGGGCCTTTTTAATAACCTCTATCTCTTTACTGATATTCTCTATTTGGTGAGGTACTGTTATCATACTTTCCTGCAATTCATTAAACATGGTTTTCTTTAGTTCACTGAATATATTTAAAATAGCTGATTTAACATCTTTGCCTAGTGAGTCCAATGTCTGGGCTTCTTCAGGAACAGTTTCTATTGATTTTTTTTTCCTGTGTGTGGGCCACACTTTCTTGTTTCATTGCATGTCTCACAATTTTTTGTTGAAAATATAGTGTGGTAACTCTGGAAATAAGATTCTTACCCCCTCCTCAAGGTTGTTGCTGTTTGTCATTGTTATTATTTGTTTAGTGACTTTTCTGAACTAATTCTATAAAGTCTATATTCTTTGTTGTGTGTGGCCACTGAAGTCTCTACTTGGTTAGCTCAGTGGTCAGCTAATGATTGTACAGAGATTTCCTTAAATACCTGGAACCAGTAAGTTTCCCAGTCTTTGCTGAGGAGCTGTGTAACGTTGGGGCATGCCTTCAATGCTCTAGCATGCAGTTGTCAATTTTGCCTTAGCCTTCACTTCCTCCTTCTGCAGGACCTAAAGGTCAGCCTGATGTGAGAGATTAGGGCCTTTTCAGATCTTTTCTGAGCATGCACACAGCCCTGGACATGTGCATAACCCTATGCATGAGCGTGGCCTGCTAGATTCCTAGGAATATGTTGGAACTCTTATGAACATCTTGCTTCCCAGCTTTTCCTTTTAGGGTTTTTGGTTAGGCTATTGTTTGCCCCGACTGTTTTCCATTGACTCAGGCAGCCACAAGGTTAAATAATTGCCTCTAATTGTTTTTGACAAATTCTCCCTGGGAAAAGGCTTTTTGTACTCGCTGAGCTCTGGTTAGGACAAACACAGACATCTTTGCAAGTAGGATATTTCAGAGAACCATCAGACAGGTAAAATAGTGTTACTTTTCTGGGAATGAGTCTTCAAAGGAACTCTAACCCTTTTCTGCCCTATCTGGTGGCTTCCCTGATGCTGTTTTCCACCATGATTGTGGGCTTTTGGTCTTCATGGCTACCGCAGAGCTGGAGGGGAGAGAGTGGGAATAAGGCAAATTATAATGCCACATAGCTTGCTGTTTTATCAGAATTTATCTGATTTTCTTGAATAAATGCTTCCTGGATTGCTGCAAGCTTTTGTTTAATTTCTAAATTTCTGAAAAAGTTCCTTCCGATAATTTTTGTCAGTTTTCTCATTGCTTCTATGGAGAGAAGAATTTCCCTTCAGTAGATATTCTTGAATAAATACTTCATAATTTGTTGTATACACTTTGGTCACTTCTCAGAGTCTTTCAGTGGTTGTTTTTTGAAACTTTTGTCCAGTTTTATCATTGCCTTTTGGGGAAAGGATTTGCTGAGCTCTTCACAGAGTCATGCTAGAAGTCCTGACCCTCCATTTTAGAATTTAATACCCAACTGAACTATAACCTCACTCAAGACATGGGGTAGGGGCTGGCCCGGTGGCATGGTGGTTAAGTCTGCACATTCTGCTTTGGCGGCCCAGGGTTCACCAGTTCGGATCCCAGGTGCAGACATGGCACCGCCTGGCAAGCCATGCTCTGGCAGGCATCCCACATATGGAGTGGAGGAAGATGGGCACGGATGTTAGCTCAGGGCCAGTCTTCCTCAGCAAAAAAAGGAGGATTGGCAGCAGTTAGCTCAGGGCTAATCTTTCTCAAAAAAAAAAAAATAAATAAAAATAAAAAAGTAACATTTAAAAAAAATAGACATAGGGCAAAATACATTTTTAGACAAAGGTAGAACATGTTTGTCATCCATTAACCTCCACTGAAAGTAATACTAAAAGCTATACACTTCAGCAGCATGAAAAAAAATCTAGAGGAAAGCAAAGCATTGAATACAAGAAATAATGATAGATATCAAATCCTCTACCACTTCCTTGACAGGAATAGGGAGACTATTAATGAGATCCTCTACTATTTAACTTATTGCAGCTGGGACCATATCTTTGTTCTGTGTGATACAAAACGGTGTTTTAATGATAATATCTAAAGCGTGTTAGTAGTGCAGATAAGATCTCTGTTAATCCCATGTTACAACAGTTCTTTTAGTTTAAATTAATAACTTATGTTTGATGGAGGAAACAGTATATTTCTGGTTAACGAAGCGTTTGTCTTTAACAGGTGAGAGGAATGACATGTGCCTCCTGTGTACATAAAATAGAGTCTACCCTCACAAAACACAGAGGGATCTTCTACTGCTCTGTGGCCCTGGCAACCAACAAAGCACATATTAAATACGATCCAGAAATTATTGGTCCCAGAGATATTATCCATACAATTGAAGTAAGTGCCAAGATTTTGCATTTCTGTGTTCTTACCGGTTCAGTCAGCACTCCCTTGAATCACTTCTGGTTTGTATCAGATAGAGACAGTGAAAAAAACCTGACCCCTTCATTTACTGTAAACAACATCTGCCTCAAGATTTAATGTAAATGTGTCTGCGTTTTTTTTTTTTTTGGTCTTTATCAAGAAGAGTTAGGCAAAGGCACATTGGCACTATTAATCAGGTGCAGGCTTAAGGTAGAACCACAAATCATTTAGAAAATGGAAGTAAAATACAATTTGTTTTGAGTAAGGTTCATGTTAATCACTAAGAAAGTGGAGCATCCTGCTAGATGCTTTATTGTTTGTTAGGTCAAAGCAAATGATGTATTTTTAAGTTAAAGTAAGAATTTTAAAAGACCAAATCCTTTTCATTGTGACAAATTCATCCTGTGTTCTTCAATTAATCTTAAGTGGTAGTACATTTGAACGTGCTTGAAAAGTTTCAGTGTGGTATAGCATTGGTGTTCTAATGATCTAAAGTATATTATGGTTCAGATAAGATCCTATTAGTTTAGGTAATAATACCATTAACATCTTTATGGAGCTGATATTATTGAGTATCTACTATGTGCCAGTTACCAAGATTGCAAAGCTTCAACTCTTTTAATTTAATTCTCACAACAATGCTGTCATCTTCATTTTGGAGGTGAGGAAACTCAGGTTAAGAGAAGTTAAGTCACCTGCCCAAAGTCACATAGCTAGTAAGTGTCATAGCTGGGATTTGAGCCTAATCTGACTCCAAAGCTTGTGCTTGCTCTTTTCACTGTGTTACATTGCCAACAAACGTAAGATGGCAGCATTTTCCTTAGCACTTGAAAGTATAGTGTATGTTACTGTCTGTGCTCATGAGTCTTACTTAGGTGTAGTTTTCTTTTTATACTTTGTTTTATTGAGGAACATTTTTGTTTGTGTTTTTTTCTGATAGAACAAGAGTAAAGACTGCATATGCAAGGCGTTGAATAATAGATTTAATATGGGCTAGCTTTTGTGGCCTATTATTCAATTTTCTGTACTTGTTCAGGGGATGGATGGATGGATAGGTAGATGTCAAAGCTAAAATTTTTTAGAAAGTGATTAATATACATCGGTACTAGTAGATGATGCTTGTCTAAACATAAAATGTATGTTTTTACTGCTGAATTCTTTCTTAGTAGGTCATCAAACACTCTGTCAGCCTGACCAAGGAACAGATTCTGCTTTTTTCCAAAATTGCTTATTGGAGGCTTTAGTTTACTTTTTGTTATAATAGGAACCTCTACTGAGGACAGCTGTGCTTGAGTTAAATCATTAATTTGAGAACAGTAGGAAGATGTTAACTAGACTTGAGGAAATATTCCTTTCTTTGATGAAAGATTAGAAACAAAGGTAATTAAGGGAAGGAAGCACATTTTCATCTTTGTATTTCCCAGATTGACTTGCACCCAGTAATTGAATTGAATTGTTCTTAATGACAATACCATGGCTTAGAATTTCTCTATATAATATTTATGTGTTCAGTGAAATAATTGTTTTCTCATGAATTTCCTTAGAGCTTAGGTTTTAAAGCTTCTTTGGTCAAGAAGGATCGGTCAGCAAGCCACCTAGACCATAAACGAGAAATAAGACAGTAAGTACTTTCGGAGTGTCAGTGAAAAGCAGAGTTTGACTCCTCGTTACAAATTTAACATCCTCTTAGCATGTGGGTTTTTATAACATCATCCCTATACTGGGTGGAGTGGTCACAATTTATATTTCTCTATAGTACATAGAATCTTTAACCATTAACTACTTACTAAAATGAGTTTTCTTTTCTATATAAGATGGAGACGGTCCTTCCTTGTGAGCCTATTTTTCTGTATTCCTGTAATGGGGCTGATGATATATATGATGGTTATGGACCACCACCTTGAAACTCTTCACCATAATCAGAACATAAGTCAAGAAGAAATGATCCACATTCATTCTTCTATGTTCCTGGAGCGCCAGATCCTGCCAGGATTGTCCATTATGAATTTGCTATCCTTTTTATTGTGTGTACCTGTACAGGCAAGTGAAATGTTAGCAAGTGTATTTAATAATGAAAAATAGCCAAAATGTGGCAGGCAAGGCTATTTTCAGTTGCAGATCAGATATTAGCCAGAAGTCTGATTATTTTATGCTGGATGCTTTACAAAAATAATCTTAGACTGAGTGGTTAGTTCAAGTAGATAATAAATTCCACTTAACTCCTTAAGGATATTGTTTAGTGACAAACAGAGAATAAGAGTGCAATTCATATTCAGATATGAATTTGGTATTCATATCTGCTATTGGATATAACTTTATATTTAAATTTACATTATTATAATAATAAAATATATTTAATATTTTATATTAAATATATTAGAACCAATTATATTTATATTAATTCTATTAAATACATTATAAATATGTTTTAAATTTATTATATAAAATAAAGTAATTATAATAATTATTATATTATATTATTGTTTTTGTTATTTCTCCCTGGCACTTGAGTTCATTACTTTCTGTATGTTTTCAGTTCTTCTCTTTATCTCCAAGATAAACTTTTACTGTGAAACACTTCCATCTAAGTGTTCATCTAATAAATTCCTAATTTAATTCCTAGTCTAATAACAAATCTATTCCTTTTTCTGACCCTTATAAAAGGCAATAATGATTTTTAAAACATCGTAGTATGTTTCTTTATACTAATGAAAAATAAGCTTTTCAGTTAAGTTTTCCAACAAAAACAGCCACAGATCCCATAGCTTGTGATATACCACTTAGGTTAAATTTTGGAAAGGGGGAGGTGAGTTTTATATAAAAAATCCTTGTTAGAAGAATGTAATTCTTTCCCCAGTTCAAAAAGAAAAATCCAAGAACCATGTGACTATGCTTATATTATGAAATATCCATTGGATCATAGAGGACAGTTGCCAAGGGCTTGCACAGCAATTTGAATCCCTACACACACATCTCTGCTAAAATACAAACACTATTGGTGCAGCTTAGAATCTCTCCTTAGTGTTTATGGATTAGATAAAAGCCAAAGGAAGTTAACATTGATACTGTATCTTAGCTATTGAGGTATATATGTGAATTTCCACATTTTTTAAAAAAGCAATGATTATTGTTTCTATATTACAGTTTTTCGGAGGCTGGCACTTCTACATTCAGGCCTACAAAGCACTGAAGCATAAAACTGCGAATATGGACGTGCTGATTGTGCTGGCCACCACCATTGCATTTGCCTACTCTTTGGTTATTCTTCTGGTTGCAATGTATGAGAGAGCCAAAGTGAACCCTATTACTTTCTTTGACACGCCTCCTATGCTTTTTGTGTTTATTGCACTAGGCCGGTGGCTGGAACATATAGCAAAGGTAAAGTAAGAAAGACTGACATTTGTTAAAATCTTGTGTGGAGAAATGACCATAATATTTTCTAGACCACGTACTGGGAATATACATTGATTTATGTAGTTAACCATTTACTGAAGGAAGTGTTTTTGGGCAACATTTTATTTTTTTTTGTGGAGGATTAGCCCTGAGCTAACTACTGCCAGTCCTCCTCTTTTTTGCTGAGGAAGCCTGGCCCTGAGCTAACATCCCTTCCCATCTTCCTCTACTTTATATGTGCGACGCCTAGCACAGCATGGCATCCCAAACGGTGCCATGTCCGCACCCGGGATCTGAACTGTGGCGAACCCTGGGCCGCTGAGAAGCAGAACGTGCGCACTTAACCACTGTGCAACCGGGCCAGCCCCTGGGCAATATTTTAAGTTAAATATTCCTTTGGAAGATTTATCAAATTTATGGAATTAATACTGTAGATAGTATCATATGTCCATGTTTATTTTGAGAGAGACATTTGAGAAGTACTTGTTTTATTTATTTATATCACATTATTAATGGAAAACTTAGTGTGACCACAAGATTTAGAATGATGGAAAAAGATTCACCTGTAATCCCATGCTATAATGGAACTCACTTTCTAATCCTGTTTTACATACGATTATATTTTACAGAGTGGCAAACATAGTTTACATACCACTTTCTACTCTTAACACTATAAGGTTTTTTCCTCCTTTTTGCAGTCTAGATAATTATTTGGTATTTCTGCATAATATTCTGTCAAATCAATCTACTGTAATTTACTAAACCATTCTGGTTTTGTTCTCAATTAGAATGTTTCTAATTTTTAATTTTAGATAATCCTGCATTAAACATATTCATGTCTAATAGTTGTTTCTATTGAATTAGTATCTTAAGATAAATTACAAAGGATATGATTAAAGGGCATACACCTTTCTATGGCTCATGCTACACACGGTAACAATTTTTGCCAGCAAGGGTATGTTAATAAAGTTGTTTTACTACTACTTCATCAGCATTTACTCCTGTCTAAATTCTCGCTAAGTTAGTAGGCATTAGATGGTATCATGGAGTTGCTTTAGTTTGCGTTTCTTCTATTAATAGCAGGGATAAACATTTTTCCACATATTAGGTATTATATTTCTTCTTAAATGAATTACCTGTTCATGTCCTTTGCCCTTGTACCTATTGGGTTCGTGATGTTTTTATTAATTTACATTGTTTATTTATAAATTATACCTAGTAATACATTTTATATTTGTGTACTTCGTATTTTTGAAGTGAAACATTTTCTCATTTGAACTAATTAATATTCCTAAAGCTGCCTTTTGAGTAAATGTTAAAGATTGTATCTTTATTTTAGGTAAGACTTGAGCTTTTTCTTCCTCAGCATTGTTAACATGTTTGTTTTAATTTATAGGGCAAAACCTCAGAGGCTCTTGCCAAGCTAATTTCACTACAAGCTACAGAAGCAACTATTGTAACTCTTGACTCTGATAATATCCTCTTGAGGTATTTATCTTCATTCTTCCCCCTTCTCTTTTCTAACTTCTTATGAAAAATATCAAATATATACAGAAGTAGAGAGAAGGGTATGATGAACCTACATAATCTGTCTCTCACATTCAGCAATTCTTTGTATTCGCCACCCTTCATCTATGCATCCTATCTTTCTTTCTCTTGTTGTGGTAGTAGTTTAAAGTAAATCCCAGTCATATTGTTTTACTGCTAAATATTCCTGTAGTATCTCTGAGAAAAGGACATATTCTTATATAAGTATAATACCATATTGCATCTACCAAAATGAACAATAATTCCTTAATATCATCTAATACGCAGTCCTTATTCATATTTCTCCCTTTGTCTCCAAAATGTTTTAAGTTTCTTAGTTTAAGATGGAATTTAAACAAGATCTATTCATCATTGCATTTGACTGACGTGTTTCTTTTAATCTACACAGCTCCTCCCTCCATTTCCCCTCCTTGCTTCCTCCCCACTCCTCCCTGTCTCTACAGTTGGTTGGTGAAAGAAACATCCATCAGTTGTCCTGTAGAATATCCCACAGTCTGAATTTGTCTCTTTGCTTCCTTGTGGTGCCATTTAACTTGTTCTATAACTCCTGTGTTACCTGTAAACTGGAAGTAAGAGCTAAAGGCTTGAAAAGATTTCACTCTTTTGTATTTCTCATTTGTATACTCATAAAATTGTTTAGGCAAATTTACACAAATAAATTGTTTAGTGAAATAAAACCCCATTATATTATTTTCTAAAGCTTTCATTTATTCATTCAATGACTGTCCTACAAATATTTAGAGTGCCTACTTTGAGCCAGGTACTGAGCTGTTCCCCAGCAGTGGACAGGACTGACATTGCAGTTGCTAGCTTAAATAGAGCTTCTGGCTTCCAGTGGTAGCAATTGTGGAGCCACAAGTTTGACATGAGCTAAAAAGCTCGCATGGACGGATCAGGCTGAGAAGCATATTGTCACGATGCTTTTTATTTTAACTCACATTCAGTGAAGAACAAGTGGATGTGGAACTTGTACAACGTGGAGACATCATTAAAGTGGTTCCAGGAGGCAAATTTCCAGTGGATGGTCGTGTTATTGAAGGACATTCTATGGTAGATGAGTCTCTCATCACAGGTATGTTCTTTCAGAGGATCATGACATGAAAGTGAAGTGAATCCAAAGTGTTAATTCAAAATAGGCATGAAAGGTAAAGAGCTTTTTGTAGAAAGTATGGAATGAGTATATAATGAGCAAAGGCAATATGAGTTCTTTTTAAGAGTGTATTAAATCAATTTATACAGGTTTACTTTGTGGTTTTAGTTATGCTACTCAAGGCTCTTTTTACTGAGGATTGTTAATTACTAGAATGTATAACCAAAGGAAGTTTTCATTCTGCTGTAGAGCCCAATAGACTTAGGTAAATTTTCCAGGGCAAATACTATTTTGTCTTTCTGCTCTAAAGACTGGTCTAGTCTGAGCTGGCATAGGACTCCAGGTTTTCCCACATCAGGGTCTGCTCTAAGGGAGCAGACCTGGAGCAGTTTGAGAGATCTTACATAACTAAGGCCAATCCAGAGCAGAAGCAAAATAACACCTTTCCTCCTTCAACCTTCAGGATGGTGCCGGAAGAAGCTCAGCTTATGGACAATGTGGAAATCATTTAGGACTCTGTTTCTCAATAGGGGTGCTACTGCCAGTTTGGATGGCACAACTCTTAGTACCAGGGGACTGTCTTACACATTGTAGTAAATTTAGTATCCCTGACCCTGGCTCACTAAATTGGAGTAGCAGCACCCCATGTCTCCCCAGTAGTTATTACAAACAAGAACTCCCTTTTGGAGCTCCAAAAGTATCTGCCAACAAGAGCTAACATATTAGGTTTTCCCAGTTTAAGATATGCACCCCTGGGCTTGGCCCAGAATTGATATAAGGGAAGAGGTAGGGCAACTTTCACCTAGGCATTTGTCCAGATTCTATTTCAGAAATAAGAATCTCTTTTCTAGATATTTTTTGACTTAACAAATAATGGTACATTTCAAGATAGTGTTTATTTATGCTCACTAAATCTTATCTTTATTCCTTATACAGGGGAGGCAATGCCTGTGGCCAAGAAACCTGGCAGCACAGTAATTGCTGGTTCCATTAACCAGAATGGGTCACTACTTATCCGTGCAACCCACGTTGGAGGAGACACAACCCTTTCTCAAATTGTCAAACTTGTGGAGGAGGCGCAAACATCCAAGGTAACTTAACTCCCTAGGAGAAAGAGAAAGTATTTTCCTTAAAGCCTGCTCAGTATAAATCTTCATCTAGTTTTTGTGTTTTCCCTTCATTCTCATTGCATTAATATGGAGTTTATTAAAATATTTCTCTTTGTGCTCAATACGAAATATACTCTGTATTTATTATCAGAAAAGGAGACTTTTGATATACTTATTATTATTATTATTATTTAATTCTAGGCTCCTATCCAGCAGTTTGCAGACAAACTCAGTGGCTACTTTGTTCCTTTTATTGTTATTGTTTCCATTGCTACCCTCTTGGTTTGGATTATAATTGGATTTCTGAATTTTGAAATTGTGGAAGCCTACTTTCCTGTAAGTGACTTCTAACAACTCTTTACCGTATGTAAAACAATTTGTGAATCTTTTACATAAGTAACTAAATGGAAAATGCTATTATCTTTAAGGGACTGGAGTGGGAAGGTGATAAGAATAACATTTGCATTTATGTAAAAGTAAAAGATTGCCTTTTGAAGAGATTTTTTTCATGATGGCTTGTGATTTTCTAAAAGCAAGTACTGAACTTTTACCTTTTATACTTAGTCTTATTCCCAGCATGATTTTACTTTCACAAAGGACTGTAGATATATTGAGGAAAACCTTGGGATCTCAGCTCTGCCACGTCCCATCAATGTGATCTTAGGTCAACTTAATTTCTCTCTCAGCTTCAGTTTCCTCATCTATAAAGTGAGATTTTAGTAATACCCATCCTGCATAACTTGCAGTTGTGAAAGTCAAATAAGATGATATATTAGAAACACTTTGTAATTTATTAAATGTTTTATAAATATAAGATAATATTAGTGCCTGTTCCTCTCTAGTTGTATGATAGTCTCTAAAGTATGGTGTCGTAAAGTGGTAAAGTGGACCTGGCCATGCTTCATATTAGAGATATAACCTTTAAATCGCTTAACTTTTCTTATCCTCACTTTTGTCATTTGTGATGTACTGATAATAATACCTAAATTGCAGGATTGGGATTAATATAGGTGAAAATATACACATATGACATATATGAAAGCATGAGCTTAGATATCTATGAAAGTCCATTCCAACTCTGTTTCTATACAGATCTGTAACTCCTAGATGAACACTTAGTTTAAGCATTTGAGAACTTAGTAAAAATCTAGCATTGTAAAACCAGTACTACTAAGAAAGGCTTCCTTTATTGTTTCTTTATTTTAAAAAATGCCATGCTGTACACTGTTTCATGCTTTATCCCTTCAATTATAGAACAAGTAGAATAGTAACAACTATGTATCTATTCCATGATATGGTCATTAGGATAATATAAAAAAGTTTCTTTTGATGATTCCCATTAGTTAAGTACACATTGAACAAGAGGATGTCTGGGGAGTATTTTGGAATGTGTATCCTTCAGAATTTTTTTCTCATGAGTTCAGGGGTTCTTAGGAGATTTTCCTAATACTGTCAATTGTATTTACTCATGCAAGCAATATTGAATGTCACTAAGCCCTATACTACTAGATATACTCAGTTCACATTGTTACGGTGAAAATAATTTTATAGAAATGTGATTAAGCTCCCTTTGCATGCTGGGTGATTGGATGAATTTTTTTCATTATCTTTAAAGAACAGTGGAAACTGCTGGGCCTCAAAAGGCATCTCTTACGTAAGGCCACGTCTCCAAGATCAGGAGATATAGCTGACTCACCTAATACATAGATATAAGCACAGAGAAAGAGGCATAATGAGGAGGCAAAGGAATACGTTCCAAATAAGGGAACAGGACAAAACTCCAAAAAAGAACTAAATGAAACAGAAATAAACAATCAACCTGACAAGGAGTTCAAACAAGGAGTCATAAGGATGCTCACTGATCTTGGGAGAAGACTGGATGAACACAGTGAGAATGTCAACAAAGAATTGGAAACTGAAAAAAACCCAATCAGAAATGAAGAATACAATACTGGAAATGAAAAATTCACTAGAGGGACTCAATAGCAGAGTAGATGATACAGAAGAACGGATCAGTGAGCTGGACAAAAGACTAGAGGAAATCACTCAAACTGAACAGATAAAGGAACAAAGAATTAAAAAGAATGAGAACAGTCTAAGGGAACTCTGGGACGATATCAAGCGCACTAACAATTGTATTATAGGTGTCCCAGAAGGAGAAGAGAGAGACAAAGGGGCAGAGAATCTATTTGAATAAATAATAGCTGAAAACTTTCCTAACCTAAGGAAGAAAACAGACATCCAAGTACAGGAAGCACAGAGAGCACCAAACAAGATAAACTTAAAGAGACCCACACCAAGACATATTGTAATTAAAATGTCCAAAATTAAAGGTAAAGAGAGAATCCTAAAACCTGCAAGATAAAGGCAACAAGTGACATATAAAGGAAAGCCCATAAGGCTATCAGCAGATTTCTCAGCTGAAACCCTAAAGGCTATTTAAAGAGCTGAAAGGAAAAACCCTACAGCCAAGAATACTCTACCCAGCAAGATTATCATTCAGAATGGAAGGAGAGAGAGTTTCCCAGACAAGCAAAAATTAAAGAAGTTTATCACCAAGAAACCAGTTCTACAAAAAATGCTGAAGGGACTTATTTAAGTGGGAAAGAGAAGACCACAAATAGGGATAAGAAAATTATCAAAACAGAAAAAAAAGAAGCAGGCAATAAAATCACTGGTAAAGGCAAAAATACATTAAAGGTAGCAGATCAACCACCTATGAAGATAATATGAAGGTTAAAAGACAAAAGTACTAAAATTACCTATTTCAATGATAAGAGGGTAATAGATAGACACATACAAAATAAGAGATATGATTCAGAAACATAACATGTGGGAGGAGAGGAGTAAAAGAGTAGAGCTTTTAGAAAGAGATCAAACTAAAGAGACTATCAACTCACTATAGATTGCTATATATGTAGAGTATTATATATGAACCTCATGGTAATCACAAACCAGAAACCTATAATAAATAAACAAGTAAGAGAAAGGAAATCAAACACATTACCAAAGAAAGCCATCAAACCACAAGGGAAGAGAGCAAGAAAAGAAGAAAGGAACAGAGAAGAATGACTAAAACACCCCCCAAAAAAGTGACAAAATGGCAATAAATACATATTTATCAACAGCTACTTTAAATGTCAGTGGACTAAATGCTCCAATCAAAAGGCATAGGGTAGCCAATTGGATAAAACAAACAAGGCCCATATATATGCTGCATACAAGAGACATACTTAAGACCTAAAGACATCACAAACTGAAAGTGAAAGGATGGAAAAAGATACTCCAGCATGGGAAAGAAGTGAAAGCTGGGGTAGCAATACTTAGATCAGACAAAGTAGACTTTAAAACAAAAACTGTAACAAAAGACAAAGAAGGGCATTACATAATGATAAAAGGAACAATCCAACAAGAAAATGTAATACTTGTAACTACCTATGCACCCAACATAGGAGCACCTAAATATATAAAGCAAGTATTAACAGGCATAAAAGGAGAAATAGACAGTAACACAATAATACTAGGGGACTTTAACACTCCACTTAGACCAATGGATAGATCATCCAAACAGAAGATTAATAAGGAAACATTGGCCTTAAGTGACACATTAGGCCAGATGGACTTAGTAGACATATACAGAACATTCCATCCAAAAACCACAGAATACACATTCTTTTCAAATGCATATGGAACATTCTCCAGGATACATTACATATTAGGCCACAAAACAAGCCTCAAATTTAAGAAGATCGAAATAATACCAACCATCTTTTCTGACCACAGCAGTGTGAAACTAGAAATCAACTACAGGAAGAAAATCAAAAAAGCCACAAATATGTGGAGATTAAACAAAATGCTACTGAACAATTATTGAGTCAATGAAGAAATCGAAGGAGAAATCAAAAAATACCTGGAGACAAATGAAAATGAAAATACAGCATGCCAAAATCTATGGGATACAGCAAAAGTGGTTCTAAGAGGGAAGTTCACAGCAATTGAGGCCTACCTCCACAAACAAAAGTCCCAAATAAACAATCTAACAGTGCATCTAAGGGAACTGGAAAAAGAAGAACAAAGTCTAAAATCAACAGAAGGAAGGAAATAATAAAAAAGCAGAAATAAGTGAAATAGAGACTAAGAAAACAATAGAAAAAACCAATGAAACCAAGAACTGGTTCTTTGAAAAGATAAACAAAATTGACAAACCTTTAGCTAGACTCACCCAGAAAAAAAAGAGAGAAGGCTCAAATAAACAAAGTCAGAAATGAAAGAGGAGAAATTACAACAGACACCTCAGAAATACAAAAGATTATACAAGAATACTGTGAAAAGGTACACACCAACAAATTGGATAATATAGAAGAAATGGATAAATTCTTAGAATCATACAACCTTCCAAATCTGAAACAAGAAGCAGTAGAGAATTTGAATAGACCAATCACCAGTAAGGAGATCAAAACAGTAATCAAAAACCTCCCCAAAAATAAAAGTCCAGGACCAGCCGGCTTCCCTGGTGAATTCTACCAAACATTCAAAGAAGACTTAATAGCTCTCCTTCTCGAACTCTTCCAAAAAATTGAAGAGGAGAGGAAATTTCCTAACATATTCTACAAAGCCAACATTATCTTCATACCAAAACCAGACGAGGACAACACAAAAAAAGAAAATTACAGGCAAATATCACTGATGAACATTGATGCAAAAATCCTCAACAAGATACTAGCAAATTGAATACAACAATACATTAAAAAGATCACACACCATGATCAAGTGTGATTTATTCCAAGAATGCAGGGATGGTTCACCATCTGCAAATCAATCAACATGATACACCACATTAACAAAATGAAGAATAAAAATCACATGGTCATCTTAATAGATTCAGAGAAAGCATTTGACAAGATACAGCATCCATTTATGATAAAAACTCTAAATAAAGTGGGTATAGAAGGAAAATACCTCAAGATGATAAAGGCCGTATTTGACAAACCCACAGCTAATATTGTTCTCAATGGAGAAAAACTAAAAGCTATCCCTCTAAGAATAGGAACCAGACAAGGATGCCCACTTTCACCACTCTTATTTAACATAATATTGGAAGTCCTAGCCAGAGCAATCATGCAAGAAAAAGAAATAAAATGGATCCAAATTGGAAAAGAAGATGTGAAACTGTCACTATTTGCAGATGACATGATTTTATATATAGAAACCCCTAAAGAATCCACTGAAAAACTTTTAGAAATAATAAATGAATGCAGTCAAGTTGAAGGATACAAAACCAACATACAAAAATCAGTTGCATTTCTGTACACTAAGAACAAAGTAGCAGAAAGAGAAATTAAGAATACAATCCCGGGGCCAGCCCAGTGGCGCAGCGGTTAAGTACGCACGTTCTGCTTTGGCGGCCTGGGGTTCATCGGTTCAGATCCTGGATGTGGACATGGCACCGCTTGGCAAGCCATGCTTTGGTAGGCATCCCACATATAAAGTAGGGGAAGATGGGCATGTATGTTAGCTCAGGGCCAGTCTTCCTCAGCAAAAAGAGGAGGATTGGCAGCAGTTAGCTCAGGGCTAATCTTCCTCAAAAAAACAAATACAATCCCATTTATAATTGCAACAAAAAGAATAAAATACCTAGGAATAAACTTAACCAAAGAGGTGAAAGATCTGTACACCAGAAACTATAAAACATTGTTTAAATTGAAGAAGACACAAAGAAACGGAAAGATATTCTGTGCTCTTGGATTGGCAGAATTAACAGTTAAAATGTCCATACTTCCTAAAGCAATCTATAGATTCACTGCAATCCCTATCAAAGTTCCAACAACATTTTTCACAGAAATGGAACAAAGAATCTTAAAATGTATGTGGAACAACAAAAGACCCCCAATAGCCAAAGGAATCCTGAGAGAAAAAAGTAAAGCTGGGAGTATCACACTCCCTGATTTCGAAATAGACTACAAACCCGTAGTAACCAAAACAGCATGGGACTGGCACAAAAACAGACACACAGATCAATGGAACAGAATCTAGAGCCCAGAAATAAACCCACACATATATGGACAGCTAATTTTCAATGAAGGAGCCAAGAACACACCATAGAGAAAAGAGAGTCTCTTCAATAAATAATGTTGGGAAAACTGGACAGCCACATGCAAAAGAATGAAAGTAGACCATTGTCTTACATCGTACACAAAAATAAACTCAAAATGGATTAAAGACTTGAATGTAAGAATCTGAAACCATGGAACTTCTAGAAGAAAACCTGGGCAGTACGCTCTTTGACATTGGTCTTAGCAGCATTTTTTCAAATAGCATGTCTGATCGGGCAAGAGAAAGAATAGAAAAATAAACACATGGGACTACATCAAACTAGAAAGCTTCTGCGCAGCAAAGGAAACCATCAACAAAGCGAAAAGACAACTTAATAATTGGGAGAAGATATTTGCAAACCATATATCAGATAAGGGGTTAATATCTGAAATGTACAAAGAACTCATACATCTCAACAACAAAAAAACTAACAACCAATTAAAAAATGGGAAAAAGATCTGAAAAGAGATTTCTCCAAAGAAGTTATATGGATGGTCAACCAGCACATGAAAAGATTTTCAACATCATTAACTATCAGGGAAATGCAAATCAAAACTACAATGAGATACCACCTCACTCCTGTTAGAATGGCTATAATTAACAAGACAGGAAACAATAAGTGTTGGAGAGGATGTGGAGAGAAGGGAACCCTTGTACACTGCTGGTGGGAGTGCAAACTGGTGCAGCCACTGTGGAAAGCAGTGTGGAGATTCCTCAGAAAATTTAGATCTACCATATGATCCAGCTGTTCCACTGCTGGGTATTTATCCCAAGAACTTGAAAACACAAATGCGTAAAGATCTGTGCACCCCATGTTCATCGCAGCCTTATTCACCATAGCCAAAACTGGGAAGCAACCTAGGTGCCCATCAAGGGACGAACGGATAAAGAAGATTCGGTATTTATACACAATGGACTACTACTCAACCGTAAGAAATGATGAAATCCGGCCATTTGTGACAACATCGATGGACCTTAAGGGTATTATGCTGAGTGAAATAAGTCAGAGGGAGAAACTCAAATACCGTATGATCTCACTCATAAATAGAAGATAAAAGCAACGACAAACAAAAATGTAGAAACAGAGATTGGATTAGTGTTTACCAGTGGGGAACGAGGGAGGGAGGATGGTGAAAGGGGTGATTAGGCACGTGTGTGTGGGCATGGATTGTAATTAGTCTTTGGGTGGTGAACATGATCTGATCTGTACAGAAATTGAAACATAATGATGTACTCCTGAAAGCTGTATAATGTTATAAACCAATGTTACTGCAATAAAAATAAATTAAAAATAAAAAGAATAATATAACAGGCAGATTTATGTCCTTAATATACAGAAATTCAGAATTCTTTCTGTTCGTGATAAAATTTGTTGAGAATTAGGTCTCATGTTTGCAGCTATTTTTTGAAAGTCCGTAATAAAAACACTTATTCTCAATATTCAGCAAAATAAAAAAAGCCGACTTTTATGTTTCTTATATTCACTCCATAGTTTGTAACTCTGGAATCGGTAAAATTGAAATATTGATTTTAGGACTGTGACTTGTTTGCCAATTATGTCACAATTTCTTATATTCATGAAAAAGTCTTTTCTTGCTAATAACTAATATGTGTATGTTGATAGCTAAGTAGAATTATGTATGACTTCAAAATTGTGGTTTTATTTAAATAGAATTAAGCTCTGTTCCTTTTGTTTTATACAGCTCTAAATCAATAACAAAAACTCACGTCTTTCTTTTAAAGGGCTACAACAGAAGTATCTCCCGAACAGAAACAATAGTACGCTTTGCTTTCCAAGCCTCTATCACGGTTCTGTGCATTGCATGCCCTTGTTCACTGGGACTGGCCACTCCAACTGCTGTGATGGTGGGTACAGGAGTAGGTGCTCAAAATGGCATCCTAATCAAAGGTGGAGAGCCACTGGAGATGGCTCATAAGGTAAGACAGTCCCCAGAACTAAGAACTGTCCCATCCGAACTGGCAGTAGCACCCCTATTGAGAAACAGAGTCCTAAATGATTTCCGCATAGTCCATAAGCTGAGTCTCTTCTGGCACCATCCTGAGGGTTGAAGTAGGACAAGTGTTATTTTGCTTCTGCTCTGGATTGGCCTTAGTTATGTAAGATCTCAAACTGCTCCAGGTCTGCTCCCTTAGAGCAGACCCTGATGTGGGAAAACCTGGAGTCCCATGCCAGCTCAGACTAGATGAGTCTTTAGGGCAGGAAGACAAGATAGGTATTTGCCCAGGAAAATTTGCCCAACCCTGTCAGGCTGTGAACCTATTTGTGTGCTTCCATGTGTGTAGTCTTCACTGTGAGGTAGCACTTGTAGTTCCATTGCTGTTTCTCTGCCTTTGCTGCCACTAACTGACAGTTTGCAACTATGACTTTAGGAATATAATCCTATTCTTGACCTCTCTCATATTAGAATTTCTAAGACAATCTCAGTCAAGGCTACTTGACTTCAACTAAAACCACGTTCCTTCTAGTGTGTTCTTATTATGAGGATACAAACTATATACAGATGCATGTAGTAAATACAGAACACACCTTAGAACAGGTTTGGAACATTATCTAGCCAGTGAATATAGTCTATTAGTTTTTATAGTAATTTTTTATTTTTAAAGATTTTGTTTTTCCTTTTTCTCCCAAAGCCCCCGGTACATAGTTGTATATTGTAGTTGTAGGTCCTTCTAGTTGTGGCACGCGGGACGCCGCCTCAGCATGGCCTGATGAGCGGTGCCATGTCCGCGCCTAGGATCCGAACCGGCAAATCCCTGGGCCGCCGAAATGGAGTGCATCAACTTAACCACTCGGCCATGGGGCCAGCCCCAGTAATTTTTTATTTTGATATAATTTCAAACTGAAAAAAAAAGTTGCAAGAATAGTATAAAGAACTCCTGTATACCCCTTACGGCAGATATCAGGATCCTTTCCTAAGAACAAAGACATTCTCTTACATAACCACAGTACAAAGATCAAAATCAAGAAATTAATATTGATATGATATCATTATCTGATCTATAGTCCACATTCCAGTTTCCTCAGTTGTCTTTATAATATCCTTTATAGCTATTTTTTCCTCTTGTCCAGAATCATGCTTTGTATTTAGTTGTCGGATCTCTTTTCATCTTGGTTCCTCAAGCTATTCATTTTTGAACCAGGTCTTATCTGGTGTTCACTTCAACCTAATTACTTACCTTTCTCGTATAATCATCTGCCTACTGCCCAGATTTCCCCTATGGATCTCTCATTCAATTAGTCCTGAAAGCCTTTCTCTTTCCCTGGAGGCACTAGAGGCATCTCCTAATTACCTATTAACGCTCAAGCCTTAACAATTAGTTCTGGTTGTTTCACATCTATCCACAGTGCAGTCGAACATTTGCAAGGGAGGGCTATTTCTTCCCTTACCCCCCTTCCTTTTGTTCTCCCAAAGACAGTTCATTAAGTCCAATTAAGTCAAAGGTCAGTTTATTAAGAAACAAAATAGTAATCTGTTTGTCAAAGTAAACCTTTTCTCATTTATGGAAAGGTGATATTAAGGATTATCAAGTCATATAGGTGCATGATATTTTTATTTTCTTACAGGTAAAGGTAGTGGTATTTGATAAGACTGGAACCATTACCCATGGAACCCCAGTAGTGAATCAAGTAAAGGTTCTAGTGGAAAGTAACAGAATGTCACGCAATAAGATCCTGGCTATTGTGGGAACTGCTGAAAGTAACAGCGAACACCCTCTAGGAGCAGCCATAACGAAATACTGCAAGAAGGTACAATTTTTCCCTTGTTTATTAATGTAGTCATCTCCTATAAGAATTATCCAGACCAAATCGAAACTATGTTTGACTATGATGTACATATATATATATATGTATATTATATATTATATATATATATATATATAGTTGGTATAAGGCTAGAGAGACTTGTATTTTCTCATTTTATTTTATAATGTATCTTAGTTTCTTCATACAGAAAAGTGTAAAGATGAAAACAGAAATTAACTATAATTATGCCACACAGATAACCCCCTGTTGACTAAAAAATTAAAATAGAAGTAATACATATTTATGGTAGGAAAACTCAGCTGGTTCAGAGTTACGTAATAAGAAAGGGATATCTCATTCCCCGCCTTCCATAACTCCTCTCTCCAAAGCTTAACGAGTGGTAACAGTCTTTTTAAATAACAGCTTAACCAGATACAATTCACATACTATTAGGTTCACGGTTGTGAAGTGTACAATTCAGTAATTTTTAGTATATTCAGAAAAGTGTACATCTATTAACCATTTTTTAATGGAGATACCAATATATATGCATTTATTATTGTTTAAACTTTACATAGAAAGGTCACACAGGGACCAGTCTTGGTAACTTTTTTCTTTTATTGAATGATTTTTACGTATCAGGACATATCGATGTGCCTTGTTATTTTTAATGGCTATCTTGTATTCTATTATATGATTGGTTTTTTGGCACTTACAATGTATACTTAACATGCTTATCAGCTTTTGCAAGTTCGTCTCTATGTTAAATGCCTATCGAGGCAATTGCTAGAGCAAAGGATACATGCAGTTAAATTTTGATGAATATTACCAGTGCCAACAGGAGAAATATTACCAACAGCCGCATGAAAGGTTGTATCAGTTTATACTTTCTGCAAATTGGAGTGTGCATTTCCCCACATTCTTACCAATACTTTATTTTTTCCAATTTAATAAGAAAAAATATTTGCTCACTGGTTTGCTTTGCATTTCCTTAATTGTTAATAAGGTTTAGCATCTTTTCATATTTTGGCCATTTGAATTTATTTTTCTGTAACCTGTCTGCTTGTATCCTTTGCCTGTTTTTCCATAGGATTGTTTGCCTTTTTCACATTGATTTGTACAAGTTCTTTGTAAATTATCTCATATAATTTTACAATTAAAATGTGGCAATTTGTACCATTGGTGTTGCCATTTCTTTATTCGTTCTCTCCTTTTTACCTATTAACTGTTACTGACCTGGCTTCTTTACACTCAAATCAAACAACAGAGAGCATGAAGATAAAAAGAGCCAGGAAACAGTGATGCCCACCAGAATTCTTACTTGGCTTACCAAGGCCACAGAATCATACTAGAGAGGCACTCTGGTAACTAAAGGCGCTATTCTTTGTTATCCTTTGCCCTGTGCTGAATAGAAAATCTGACTTGACAATAGAATTAAATATTTAACTTGTAATTCTCTATGGGAAAGGGTGGAGAATATTGATAAACCTCCCACGTTTTCTTTTCCTAAACTTGGTATAAATTTTAGAGAGTGAGATTAAAACAAAGGACTCTGATGTTCTCCTGTAACTTTGAACGTTTTACAAACATTATATCAAAATCCACTGTCAGATAGGCCATGATAATTGACAGTTCTATTCTAAGCATTTAGAATTAACCAGGCATGTAGCATGCGTCTAAACGTTTGGAATTAACCAGCAGTAATCTTGATCTTGCTAATGATGACCTTGAATTATTAGAACAGCAGACGAAATCCTTCTGTTTCTGTTTCTTAGGAGCTGAACACTGAAACCTTGGGTACCTGCACAGATTTCCAGGTTGTGCCAGGCTGTGGTATTAGCTGCAAAGTCACCAATATTGAAGGATTCCTGCATAAGAATAACTGGAAGATAGAGGAAAATAATATTAAAAATGCATCCCTGGTTCAAATTGATGCAAGTAATGAACAGCCATCCACTTCATCTTCCATAATTATTGATGCCCAGCTCTCAAGTAACTCAATTTTCTTTGTAGTACCAATTATGGGACAGTTATTAATAGATATCTGACTTTATAATCCTGAAATGTTATATAGGAAACAAAAATTGACATCATAGTTTCATTCTCTCAAATCGGTTTTACCGTAGGCCTCCTGATCACTTCACTCATGTGACTCAAGAACATTTCCCAGCTGTGCTCCTTGATTCCACTACAGGGTGATGAAGTCTAGCCTTAGCCGATCTTCCATCTCAGTTCAGCCATCTTTCTTTTATTTCTCACCACAGCTACTCTAAACTTTTTATATCCTTCACAAGATCCTGTGACCTTCCCCCTATTTCCCTAAGCAAATTATCTGACTTATTTTTCACATATAAATTAAAGTTCTCAGACATTTTTTTTGAGATGTCAAAAATGAATGTGTTCCTTCATTTTTCTTTTTTTTTTTTTTTTGCCCAAAATGATTCCTTTTTCAGGGGAAGAGATATCCCTCATCTTGCCTAATGAATCCCCGCATCTTTGCTCTAGATCCCACCCTCTCTTTATTCCTCAGGGGCCTCACTCTCTGTTGTGTATGCTTTCTTTATTTTCCAACTCTCTTTTTGTAGTAGCTTCTTCTCCTAAACATATAAACATTTCTTCCATCAAAATCACTGTATTCCCATTTAGATTTTGTCCTATCTGTCTTTCTTTCCTTTTATATCCAAGCTTCTAGAAAGAGTAGTCTACGCTTGCTGAATTCACTTATTCACTGCAGTCTGGCTTCTGCCCCATCCGTACCACTGAAACTATTCTTTCTGTGTCCACTGATTACCTTATTCAGTACCCTCTCCAGTGGTCACTTCTCAGTCTTCCTCCTGCTTGACCTCGTGAAAGCATTTGACAGTGTTGACATTCCTTCCTTCCTAAAACTCTTCCTTCCCCTGATTCCATGACCCTGCTTTCTCTAGATTCTCCTCTCGTCTTTCTGGCTGTTTCTTCTAATCCTCCTCTGATTCCTCTTTTCTCCCGCTTTTGAATGTTGGGTGTCCTCAGGGTTTTGTTCTTGGCTTTTTCTCATTTTACATGCTCTCTCTGTAGAATCTCATTCATGCCTATCACTTATTCTACCACCTGTAGGCTTCCACTACCACTTCCAAGTCCATATGTCTAGCCAAGGCCTCTTTCCTGAGTTTCTTGTTGTTCTATCCATCTGCCCCAAAACACGATATACCCACCTAAGTGTTCCAGCACCTTCCCACCCATTTATGCTCGAGTGATTTTGCTAACATGCACATTAGATTATATCACTTTCTAACTAATACATTTTATTACAGTGGCTCATAATTTATTTTTGAATCATAAACTTTTGGAGGAATGTGATGAAAACTGCCTACCCCTCAGAAAATTTCTGTTTCAGAGGTTTGCATATATCCTAAAGCTCATCCGTGGAATTCTGTTAAGGATCCCGGCTTTACTGGTCCTCTCTCTCCTACAGGACAAAGTTCAGTCTCTGGACTTTGTTCAAGATCTGTTGCCCGTGATGCATTTCCTGCCTCCCTGCACCACCCATCTTGTCTTCTTCCACGGCCCCCAATGTACTCTGTGTTCTGTCCATACAGAGCTACTTATAATTCCTCCTTACATCTTGTCATTTCATGCTTTTTAGATCATTTCATTTACTCTTTTCTCTGGCTAACGTTGTTGTCCACAACAGCATCTACCTCATGAGCTTGTTTTCATCTTTTAAGACTTAGCTCACGTCTCTCTTCAGTGAAGCCTTCACTGACTGACATACATAGGCAGAGACATTTGTTCTTCTTTTTAAATTATAACTATACTTAATCTTTGTATTGTGCTAAGTACACTGCATGATCGTTCTTTATTTACCTGCCTAATTCTATTAAACTGCAATTTCTTTATTTGTCTATGAACTTTTAGTATCAAGCACCCTGACACATAGTAATTTCATTCATTTGACAGCTTTTATTAAGCATTGTTCAAGACACTAAAGAATCAGCAGTGAGCAGAATATACAAAGTCCCTGTCTCATGGAGGTTACATTCCGGGTGGGAGAACACAAGACATGAGCAAATAAATAAGAAAATGTAGTATGTCTGATGGAGGAAAATAAAGAAGGGTAAGGGATATAGGGAATGCTGGGAGTAGCCGGTCCTATTTTATATAGGATAATCAGGGTAGGCCTCATTGAGAAGGTGGTATTTGAGCAAAAACCTGAGGAGGGGGACAGAGAAAGCTATGTGAATATCTGTGACAAGAGTGTTCCAGGCAGGAGGAGCGTTAAGTACAGAAGCCTTGAATTAGGAATGTGCTTGACTAGTTGGAGGAAAAGCGAGGAGAACAGCATGGCTAGAACAGAATAAATGAGTGGGAAGGGGATAGGAGACTAGGTCAGAGAGGTAGGGCAGGACTAGATTGTGTAAGGACGTTGAAAGGACTTTGGTTTTTACCTTAAGATGGAAAGCCATTGGAGAGTTTTGAGTATAGGAGTGACAGAATCTGACTTGATGTTTTATTTTTTTTTTTTTTAAAGATTTTATTTTTTCCTTTTTCTCCCCAAAGCCCCCTGGTACATAGTTGTATATTCTTTGTTGTGGGTCCTTCTAGTTGTGGCATGTGGGACGCTGCCTCAGCGTGGCTTGATGAGCAGTGCCATGTCCGTGCCCAGGATTCGAACCAACGAAACACTGGGCCGCCTGCAGCGGAGCGTGCGAACTTAACCACTCGGCCACGGGGCCAGCCCCCTGACTTGATGTTTTAAAAGTATTACCTTGGCTGCTCTGGTGAAAATATACCACTGGAGGTGGGGATGGGGGCAAGGGCGAAAGCAGGGGGACGAGTTAGTGGACTTTCATCATAATCCAGGTGAAAAATAATGGTGGCTTGGACCAGTGTGGTAACCGTAAAGGTCATAAGAAGTGGTCAAATTCTGGATCTGTCTTGAAGGGAGAGCTGTCTGACAGATTATCTCACAGATTGGATATGGGGTATGAGAGAAACAGGAGTCAAGAATTATGCCAAGGTTTGTGGCCTAAGCAATTTAGAATAATGGAGTTACCATTTCAATAAGATGGGGAAGACCACAAGAGGGGCAGTATTGAGGAAAACTGATCAGGAGTTTTGTTTTTGACATGTTAAGTTTGAGTGCCTTTTAGGTATTCAAGTGGAGATGTTATATAAATGGAAATATCAACTAGGCAGTCGGCTGCACAAGTCTGGAGTTCAAAGACACAGAATGGGTTGGGCGTAGAGATTTGGGAGTCATCTACATATACGTCTGTGCTGTCCAAGCTGGTAGCCACTAGCTACATGTGACTATTTAAATTTAAATTCATTAAAATTTAATTTAATTTAAAATTCAGCCCTTCAACCATACTAGCCACATTTCAGCACTCAATAGCCACATAATGTTAGTGGGTACTGTACTGAACGGAGCAGATACGGAACATCTCCATCATCACAGAAAGTTCTATCAGACAGCGCTGATAGAGATGGTACTTAAAGCCCTGAGACTGATAAGATCACCAAAGAGTGATGGTAGATAGAGGGGGAAAAGAGGTTTAAGGTTTGAGCCCTGTAACACCACAAATTAAGAGGTCAAGGAGCTGAGGAAAGATCGGCAAAGAAGGCTGAGAAGCAGTGGTGAGTGAGGAGGTAACTCATAAGAACGTGTTGTCCTAGAAGTGAAGCGAAGAAAGTGTTTCAAGAAGGAGAGAGTGATCCACTGTGTTAAATGCTGCTAATAGGGCGAGTAAGGTGAGGACTGAGAATTAGCCATTAGGTTAATTAAAGGTCATTGGTGTGTTTTATGAACAATTCTTTGGAGTAGTAGAGACAAAAGCTTTATTTGAGTGGGTTCACAAGAGAATAGAAAGATATGAGTTGGAGACAGCCAATAGAGACAACCCTTTCAAGAAGTTTTGCTCTGTACAGAAGCAGAGAAATGGGGCAGTAGCTAGAGAGGTAAGTGAGGTTTTTTTAAAAGATAGGACTATGTACAGCAGGGATAGAAAATTTGATTATGCAGGAGAGAGAAGGGAGACTTGTTGGAGAGATTTCTAGAATAGGCAAAGGAGGGGGACGTAGTGCGCAGGTGGAGAGGTCGGCCTTAAATCGGAGCAGGGACAGTTTATGATAAGAGAAGGGACGCTAGATTAATGTGTACACAGGCACAGGGAGTTGGGGAGATGTGGTAATGAGGGCTTGTGGAAGTTCTCTTCTGGTTGCTTTTCTTTTCTTTCTGAAGTAGGAAGCAGAGTCATCTGGTATGAGAGTGAGAGAAGAGAAGGTATAAAATAGCCATCTAGAAGGAATGGAGAATGAATGGACTAGGGAAATGAGAATTGCCAGAGAGTACTAAGGGCCCACTTAAAGTGGCCCCATGTTTAAAATGAGACGTCAGTGAGGTTGTATGTTTTTGTCCAGTCACATTCAGTTACTGATGCACAATAAATATGTTGAATTTAATTCAATTTCTGTGGAAGGTCAAAAAGAAAGCTTCACCAAGAAAGTAACGTTTGAACTGGCTCTTGAAGAATATGATGGAGTTTGGTATTTGGAGAGGAAGGGTAAGGACATTCCAGGTGGAGGCAGCAAAATGTTCAAGGGCCCAGAGGCATGGAAGAACAGAGTGTGTTCCTGGAAAATTTGGAAATCACTGTTGTAGGCTGTGTTCTATCAAAAATACAGTGTAATGACTGTGCAAAGTTAGACAGGAAGAATGTGCTTCACAGGGTTGTTATAAATATTAAACAAGCTCACGAAATGTTATTTCTCTACTTTCTGTCAGATTCTCTTAATTCTCAGCAGTACAAAGTCCTCATTGGTAACCGGGAGTGGATGATTAGAAATGGTCTTGTCATTAACAACGATGTAGATGATTCTATGAATGAACATGAGAGAAAAGGTCGTACTGCTGTATTGGTGGCAGTTGACGGTAAGGTTTTCCATAAGTACACTATGACTCAGTGTTGTGATCTCACTTACTGTTTTATGTGTGTTTTTAGAAATTTCTGAACTATGAGGGTTATTTGAAAGCAGCCTCAATGCAAAGTGAAAATGTTAGCATTAACTTAATTTAATTTAAAATTCTCTTGCATTTGCCTGGCTTTGTTATTTTCCTCTCTAGCCTGTGTTTTTAAAAAAAGGTAATCAAGGATTTTTTTAAAACCTAAAAATAACGTAACATTAAAGTAATAGCAAAGTAAAATAATATCCATAATCTCATCATCCTAACACAGTGTCAGTTTTAATTGTATGTATTCCATTTCTGGTTTGTGTGTGTATGTGTGTGTGTATATATATATACACACAGAATTACAATATTAGTACATATACTGTTTTTAAATGGGTGCATTTTATTGTATGTAAATTCTACCTCAGTAAAGTTGAATAAAAGTTTAAAATCCTTTGTACACATACTATTTTATTTTGCTTTATTTTATTTAATACTATTTTCCAATTTTATTTTTATTTATTTATTTATTTTTAATTTTTTATGTGAGGAAGATTTGCCCTGAGCTAACATCCGTTGCCAATCATCCTCTTTTTTTGTTTGAGGAAGATAAGCCCTGAGCTAACATCTGTGCCAGTCTTCCTCTACTTTGTATGTGAGATGCCTCCACAGCATGGCTTCATGAGTGGAGTAGGTCCGCACCCAGGATCCAAACCTGGGAACCTGGGGCTGCTGAAGTGGTACAGGTGCAACTTTAACCACTCAGCCACAGTGCCAGCCCCTCCAATTTCATTTTAATGCTGCATAATTTCTCCAGCTTATACACTGTGATTAATTTAATCATTCCCTTGTTGAAAATTTAAGCTATTCCTAATATTTCATTATTGTGAATAATGCCACAGGTAAGCGTCTTTGAGGTTTTAGGTGTTTTCTTTTGTTAAATTATTTCTTAGGGTAGATTTCTAGCTGTGAGATTAATTAGTCAACATTTATAATCCTTGCTAAGTATGAAGGCAGTAGCTTAGTATGGCCTTTTTAGGTCCAGGAAGAAGCAGAAAATACCATTTACTTTTGTTTTTAAAATAAAATAGCTACTTGTGGTAATTTTTTTTTCCCAGTATAAAATGCCAGTTTTGTCTCCATCCACCTCCTTCACCTTAAAAAGAAACAAAAGGTATTAGTTTTCAGTTTCATTTTCCTTTAAATTAGCTTAAGTGTTTGGGGCTATTGGCTAATACTTCTCTAAGGAAAGAAAGAGTCTTTTAGTATCCAGTAAGGTCTCTCTTCGCATTTTCCTATTACTACCTTCATTAGTAACCCCTGCCTCACTCTGACATTTTCATAAGCAAATGGGAAGATTTGTCTCAGGGCTTGTGGTATAAAGTCTCTGTGGGCTAGGAGATATTTTGAGTTAAGCCAAGCCCCAAATAACTTAACAAAATTCATTTCATTCTGAAATTTTAACTCAGAATATTATTGTGCTTTCACCATATTTCAAACTCTGTTATTTTCTGGTGCTCCTATATTAGACGAGCTGTGTGGCTTGATAGCTATTGCTGATACAGTGAAGCCTGAAGCAGAATTGGCTGTCCATACTCTGAAATCGATGGGCTTAGAAGTAGTTCTGATGACTGGAGACAACAGTAAAACAGCTCGGTCTATTGCTTCTCAGGTAATTGGTTTACTTGATTGTTGGGTTGGGAGTATTTCTAATTCTTCATGTACATTTTCTTTCTTGCCTTCAGATACTAAAAAAATTTATATTACCTATTATCATCATTATCATTGTGTGGCTATATCTGGTTCCTTCAGGAAGAACTGGCATGCTGTGTGGGAAGGACTTTGGGCTTTGTGTGTTACTGTTATAAGTAAAAAGCTATTTGCTTAGTTTCTGAGATGCCCGAGCGACACCATACACCAGTTTCTCTTGATGCTTCCACTGAAAGGTTGCTCATGTTCTTCACTAGTGCAGCCCGCCTAAGCCAGGCTCTCATCCTCTTATGCCTAAAATACAGCAATAGCTCCATGCGCTTCCCTTTCTAGTCCATCCTGAACACCACTGATGGAACCATCTTCCTAATGCACCACTTTGACGTATTATTTTTCTGCTGTTGACCTCCACATTTGCCTTACCTCCAAAACTTTTCTCATGTTACTCTTTTCTACTTTGGAATGCCTTCTCCTCTTTGTGTTAAATAACACAAGTAATATATGAATACATACTTGTATAAAAAAATACAGAAGGATATAAAGTAAAAAGTTTGTCACTTCTCAAGCTCCCTGCCCAGTCCTACCCTTCACACGTTTTCATGTGCATATATATTCATGTACCAATGTATAGTCTTGTTATCTTCAACACAAATTGGATCATTTTTGTACATATTGTTCAGAAGTTTGCTTTTTTTAACATAAAAATATATATGCCTTGCAGCTTTGTCCATGTCTGAACATATAAGGTTATTTCATTCTTTCTACATTGCTGCATGGAATTCCATGGTATAGATGTATCATAATTTATTTAACCATTTCCCTAATGATGGGCATTTATGTGGTTTTGAAAATTTTGTTGTTACAAACAGAGCAGTAATGCACATCCCTGGACATACATCTTTTTGTACATATACCAGTATGTCCAAAACATATCTAAAAGTTGAATTGCTAAACCAAATGATGTGCACACTTTGATAGCTGCTGTCAAATGCCCTCCAAAAAGATGCTACCAATTTACACACCCACCAACAGCGTATAAGAGAGCTAATTTCTCCATATCCTTACTGTCACTGAACGTTATCAGTTTTTTAAAATTTGGACATCTAGTGGGTTGAAAATGATGGCTCATTATTGCTGAGTTGTATTTCAGGTGCTCAGTAACATTTCTTGAAATGCATTGAGTGTATTTTTCTTCACAAAGGTTGGCATTACTAAGGTGTTTGCTGAAGTTCTACCTTCCCACAAGGTTGCTAAGGTGAAGCAACTTCAAGAGGAGGGGAAACAGGTAGCAATGGTAGGAGATGGAATCAATGACTCCCCAGCTCTGGCGATGGCTAATGTTGGAATTGCCATTGGCACAGGCACAGATGTAGCCATTGAAGCAGCCGATGTGGTTTTGATAAGGGTAAGTCCTGTGGCCTGAACTTTGAGGAGGGTGAGACTACTCCACCTGGTCAGCGATAGCGTCATAAAGTCTGTGGAGCACAATGATTCTGTCCTTCTAGTTCCTGTGCTCCCAGCCATTGAGACTGGGAGAATTCGAGATGACAGTATAAGAAGTCTTACTGATTACTTACAGACTTTCTCAATCCACCAAAGCAAATGAGAATGACAAGCTTCTAAAGTGAAGAATAAAATTTGGGAATATACTTATAATAAAATTATCTTCAACAAATATTTGCTGAGATTATTTTAACGAGATTTAATCCCTGTACCAACATACAACCTAAAAGCATTTTCAGAACCTTGAGAAAAATTCCTGAAAAACATCTTCCAAGGCGGACTCAAATTTTTAGCAATATCTGAAATTTGTGGTTAATGCACATATTACTCTAATGTACACATCATCTTCAGTATACACAGTATCAAATGCAAAAGTTACTAGTTAAGTTAGAGTTTCTCACTAATATCACAAATATTTCTGTTCTCAGAATGATCTTCTGGATGTAGTGGCAAGTATTGACTTATCAAGGAAGACAGTCAAGAGGATTCGGATAAATTTTGTCTTCGCTCTAATTTATAATCTGGTTGGAATTCCCATAGCTGCTGGTATGTGACTGTTAATGAGTATTACTTTTTTCTCTGAAGTCCTTACAGACCTACCATATTGGAAGTTTTAGTCTTCTTATTCTTAGTTTTGAGCTCAGTTTTTGTATGTAGCCTGCTGGTGTGGTGAGAGGTAATATTAAAATTAGCAGTTATAATTTTTCAGCAATGTTCATTATAGCCAAGAATGTATAAACATTCTGACAGGTTTATTTTATTTTACCTTATTTTTACCTCCAACTTTATATTTTGAAAATTTTCAAACCTACATAAACAAGGAAAAAATGATACAATGAAAACCTCTGTACCCTTCACCTAAATTCACCAATGAATAATATTTTGCCACATTGCTTCATCTCTTTCTCCATATACTCTCACATACATATATATTTATTTACTTATTCATGTATTTTTTGCTGAAAAGAACAAATTTACCTTTAATCTCACTACCCAAACACAACTACTGTTAGCATTTTAGTATATTCCCTTCCACTCTTTTTTACTCTGCATCAGTTTTTGTCTTGTTACATAGTTGCAATTATAGGTCACAGAGAATTTTCTGCTCTTCCCTTAACGTTCTAATAGCCAGCAGGTTTTTCTTTTAAATTTGGGGACTAGATGGGAGAGAGAGATTGAATGAAGGAATATGACCAAGAGAAAGAAATTTAGAATGGTTTAACAAGCATCTGATAACCTCCTGTACTTGGGGGCTTGGTAGGAGTTGGTAAGAACATAGTAGTTATCACTTTCTTCTTTTTTTCTCTGGTTTGAGAGCCAAAGAAGGACATGAAATGACATGAGAACAATTACAGAGCTGTTTATCAACAAGGATACACAAATGCTGAGAGGACAAAGAGTTAAAAAACAAAGTCTGAAGAGATTAATTCATGGAGCAAGTAATTTTTAAAAAGTTATACAAGTAATACATGATTACTTTACAAAAAGTAGAAAAATAAGCACATGAAAAAGTTAAAGTGCAATAAGTCTATCTTATCTCCATCATTTGAGCAAATATTAGAATGTCTACCAAAACCAAGTGCAAGATAAGTTTGTAGAACATGAATTCTCATACACTATTGGTGGGACTCTGATCTGGTGCAGCCACTTCGGAGAGCAATTGAGGAATATCCACCTAACGTTGAAGATGTGCCCATGTTGTAACCCAGCAGTTTCATCTCTAGGTATGCACCTTAGAGAAATTCTCAAACACGTGTACAGAGAGACATGTACAAGAATGTGCACAGCAACACTCTATTAGTGAAAAAATGGCAATGACATAAATCTCCACCAATGGAAGGGTAAATTGCTGAATAAATATTAAAAAAGGAAGTGATTTGTATATACATATTAGAAACACATTGGTGATCTGTTTAGTATTGCCTGCTCCAACTAATCCAAACTTGTTTCCTAGGAGTTTTTATGCCCATTGGTTTGGTTTTGCAGCCCTGGATGGGATCTGCTGCAATGGCTGCCTCGTCTGTTTCAGTAGTACTTTCTTCCCTCTTCCTGAAACTGTAAGTATAATGGCTTGCTCATGTTTCTATTTTATATTCCTTTTATCATCCACAGTCAGACTTGGTAGGTTTTATTCTTGTATTGATCAATGATAAGCCCAAACTGCCCTTAATAATAAATGTTAGCTACGTAATTATCACCTTACGTACAGGCATACCTCGGAGATATTGCAGGTTTGGTTCCAGAGCACCAAAGTAAAGGGAGTCACATGATTTTTTTGGTTTTCCAGTGCGTGTAAAAGTTATGTTTACACTATAGTTATATAGTCTATTAAGTGTGCAATGACATTATCTCTAAAAAAAAATGTATACACCTTCATTAAAAATACTTTATTGCTAAAAAATGCTAACCATCATCTGAGCCTTCAGTTGTGATCTTTTTGATGGTGGAGGGTCTTGCCTTGATGTTGATGGCTGCTGACTGATCAGGGTGGGCTGTGGCAATTTCTTAAAATAAGACAACAGTGAAGTTTGCCACATCAATTGGCTCTTCCTTTCATGAATGATTTCTCTGTAGCACGCGAGGCTGTTTGATAGCATTTTTTTCCGTGATGGAACTTCTTTCAAAGTTGGGGTCAATCCTCTCAAACTCTGCTGCTGCTTTATCAACTAAGTTTATGTAATATTCTAAATCTTTTGTTGTCATTTCAACAGTCTTTGCAGCATCTTCACCACGAGTAAATTCTATCTCAAGAAACTACTTTCTTTGCTCATCCATAAGGAGCAAGTCTTCATCTGTTAGGTTTTATCATGAGATTGCAGCAGTTCAGTCACAACTTCACGCTTCACTTCTAATCCTAGTTCTCTTGCTATTTCCACCCCATCTGCAGTTACTTCCTCCACTGAAGCCTTGAGCCCCTCAAAGTCCATCCAGGAGGGTTAGAATCAGCTTCTTCCAAACTCCTGTTAATGTTAATATTTTGACTTCTTCCCATGAATCAAAAATGTTCTTAATGGCATTCAGAATGGTGAATCCTTTCCAGAAGGTTTTCAATTTACTTTGCCCAGATCCATCAGAGGAATAACTGTCTATGGCAGCTCTAGTCTTACAAAATGTATTTTGTCAATAATAAGATTTGAAAGTCAAAATTACTCCTTGATCCATGAGCTGCAGAATGGATGTGTGTTAGTAGGCATGAAAACAGCATTCATTGCGTTGTACATCTCCATCGGAGCTCTTGAGTGTCCAGGTACCTTATAAATAAGCAGTAATATTTTGAAAGAAATCTTTTTCTCTGAGCAGTAGGTCTCAACAGTGGGCTTAACATATTCAGTCAGTGATGTTGTAAACAGATGTGCTGTCATCCAGGCTTTGTTGTTCCATTTATAGAGCACAGGCAGAGTACATTTAGCATAATTCTAAAGGGCCCTAGGATTTTCGGAATGGTAAATGAGCATTGGCTTCAACTTAAAGTCACCAGCTGCATTAGTCCCTAACAAGAGAGTCAGCCTGTCCTTTGAAGCTTTGAAGCCAGGCATTGACTTCTCTCTAGCTATGAAAGTCCTAGATGGCATCTTCTGCCAATAGGAGGCTGTCTCGTCTACATGGAAAATCTGCTGTTCAGTGTAGCCACCTTCATTAATTGTCTTAGCCAGCTCTTCTGGAGAACTGGCTGTGGCTTCTATATCAGCACTTGCTGCTTCACCTTGCACTTTTATGTTGTAGAGACAGCTTCTTTCCTTAAACCTCATGAACCAACCTCTGCTATCTTCAAACTTTTCTTCGGCAGCTTCCTCACCAATCTCAGCCTTCATAGGATTGAAGAGAGTTAGGGCCTTGCTCTGGATTAGGCTTTGGCTTAAGGGGATGTTGTGGCTGGTTTGATCAACTTTCTCCATATCAGCAGTAAGGCTGTTTTGCTTTCTTATCATTCATGTGTTGACTGGAGTAGCACTTTTAATTTCCTTCAAGAACTTTTCCTTTGCATTCACCACTTGGCTAACTGTTTGGTGCAAGAGGCCTAGCTTTGCCCTATCTCGGCTTTCAACGTGCCTTCCTCGCTAAGCTTAATCATTTCTAGCTTTTGATTTAAAGTGAGAGACATGCAACTCTTTCTTTCACCTGAACACTCAGAGGCCATTGTAGGGTTATTAATTGGCCTAATTTCAATATTGTTGTGTCTCAGGGAATAGGAAGGTCCAAGAAGAGGGAGAGAGATGGGGAAATGGTCTGTAGGTGGGGCTGTCAGAACACACACAAGACTTATTAAGTTTGCTGTCTTATATGGGCACGGTTCGTGGTATCCCAAAACAATTACAATAGTAACATCAAAGATCACAAATCACAATAACAAATATAATAATAATGAAAATGTTTGAAATATTGTAAGAATCATCAAAATGTGAGAGAGACACGAAGCAAGCAAATACTGTTGGAAAAATGACATCGATAGACTTGCTGAACGCAGGGTTGCCACAAACTTTCAATTCGTAAAAAATGCAGTTATCTGCAAAGCACAATAAAGCGAAGTGTAATACAACGAGGTATGCCTGTAGTCTATAAATAGCAACCACAAGTACTGTGTGGGGTAAAGTCTAGTACATTGGCTCTGACAAGTAGGATATTTGGTCATGTGACTCAACACATTCCTTTTGAGCTACTCTGCTAGCAGGGACCGCCTTTGTACATTTCATACCAGGCAAATTTTTTTTTCATTTTTGAATGTAACAAGCATCTAGTTCACATTTGGTTATTTCAAACTAGTATACTTTTGCATGTGTCCAGTTATAGGAAACCAACTTATGAGAATTACGAACTGCATGCCCGAAGCCAGATGGGACAGAAAAGTCCTTCAGAAATCAGCGTTCATGTTGGAATAGATGACACCTCAAGAAATTCTCCTAAACTGGGTTTGCTGGACCGGATTGTTAATTACAGCAGAGCCTCCATAAACTCACTACTGTCTGATAAACGGTCCCTAAACAGCATCGGTACCAGTGAACCTGACAAGCACTCACTCCTGGTGGGAGACTGCAGGGAAGATGACGACACTGCGTTGTAACAGGCCACAAAGAGTGCTACTAGCTGATGTTATTATGCACTGACACAGCATTCATAATGTCACCTTAGCTTTTCAGAATATTGCAAGAGGATGTTATGTTGGTTTCACGCTCTTACGGTAGGGATTCCATTTGAATTGTATTTGTCTAATGGCAAAAATATCTTTTTCAGGGCATCAGCTCTGAACCTAGCTTTATTTAAAATAAATTTCCAGTATTTTTTGTTTTCACTAGTAACAGATAAGGTAGACTGGTGAGGTTTACAATAAGCCCTACAGTTGAAGATTGCCAAATTATTGCCAAAGTGATAGAAAATTTTTTATTTGACCAAAAACACCTCAAAAAAAAAGGAAATTAAAAATTTGCAGATTTGGGAGCATGATTTTGAGGAGATTCTTGAGCCCTCATCCCTGCCACATTGGGGAGCAGTGGCTTTCAGAGCACTGTATAAAGCATCTAGTTTTAGAAGGAAAATTGTAGAAACTGTTTAAAAATAGATGTGCCTTATTTATTACAGGCTTTCTTCCCCCCTTATTCTCCTTGCGTCTTTGTCTTTCCAGTTGCTTTCTTAGATGCCCCAGTCTGTTTTCCTTTGTTACCTTATTTTGAGTGAGCTAAATGTAGGTGTTTTTTTATTGATAAAAATAACTGACAACTTTTCCAATATCTTGTCCCTTTCTTTATCTTGTAGCTCAAAAGACCTTAAGGAGCCATAGGGTTCCCTGCTCCCCACCTTTCCATTGTTGTAAAAAATATATCAGATTCTTCCTTCAATGACTCCGTAGCTCTGTGAAGCTTTCAAGTGGCTCCTGCTGAGTAAGCTGTAAATTGTTCTTAGTGTAGTCTGTCCATTGGCCTCAGTCCAGAAACTTAAGATTTTGAGCCTCTTCCACAGTTGATTTTTTCGATGATTAACTCTACTATCTTTAACATATATGGGTCATATAAAATTACCTGGATACACTAAATTTGTCCTTTTTTGGAGAGAATAGAAGACCTTAGCTGGTGTACATAATTTGCTAAATTTTAATTATCTTTTGGTGTTTTAAATAACCTCTCAAAAGGACTTTAAAATAATGCTATTACACAAAGCTGCTTTTACCAAAAAATACAAGATGTTATACAGATGTGAGAATTTTCCTTGGTTGTGATGCCTTTTAGCCAAATCTATACTTTTCTCTGGTCTAAAACATTTGCACTTGCTAGTTAGTGTGGTTGGCAAATTCAAGGCTTGTTCTCATTGTCATGTAAGTTTAGAAATTCCCCTGTGAGTGCCTGGGAGTTAATATACTGGTCAGAGATCTGGTATTTACATCACTATTTAAATTTCCTTGTTAATTGCAAGATGGATTTCATATACAGAATATGTAAGTGAAGAGAATTCATAAGTTCCTAAATATTTTGTTCCTATTGTCATATGTAAAGCTGCTAGCACAATGCCTAGCACATAGGATTTGTTCTCAGTAAACGTTAGTTCTTTTCTCCCCTTGAGGTCAGTAATACTAAAAATCATTTTTTAGGGCAGACTCTAAAAATCAGGTGGGAGTGGGGGATGGGTTTCTTCCTCTCCTACTTCCTTTCTCTCTTATTCTTTCATACACACACAGAAAAGTTTACAGCACTATTCCATGCTATCTTTTCAGTTGTGGAAAAGATTTCATTTTTTATCTCAGCTATCTTAAAGAGAGAACTGAAACTTTTGGTGAAGGTGCTATTAATCTAGAAAGGCAAACCCATTTTAATGAAATATGAATGAGTTTGTATGTGTAGGCTCTTTTTTAGACCAATGCCTATGCCATCTTCCATGCTTCCAGTTTGAATTCTAATATTTGTTTCTTATTTTAATTCCACTGTCCCATCATACCACGACTTGTTTCTTGTAGAAGAAACAGCTAATATGACTACTATTATTATTATGTGTGTGTTTCAGCTGTCCTCTTGGCCCCACATGCCAAGGGACCCACATGTGAGAAGAGCAGGCTACAGTCTGGGAAAAATCAAGGATATAATTCAGCCCTTACTACCAGAACAGAAAACATCCTGTTTAGAAAGAATCCTGCTTTAACTATCTGTAGCCATCTTTGAATCCTCCACAGCAAGTCTCATTTACAATCCTGAACTCCCATTAGCTTTATAGAGCAGCTATATTCACACAAGGAGAGAGCTGATATATGGAGGGGATCAAAAACATTGCTTTCAGTTAGTAATTAGCTTTAAGTAACTAGTTATCAGTGAGAACAAGTTTTATAAATGTGTGTGTGTGTCTGTTCATAGACACACACACACATATGTACACACACACATTACCATATAGTAGGAAAATGGATTTATATTTGAATTTGATATTTGAATATTTAAAGTTCTTTATTTGTTGTTCCTTTAACACTCTTCTGTCGTCACTCAGCAACCATGCCCTCAGTCTGAAGATAACAAGGACGTTTTGGTATCCAGTGCTGGTTCAGACTCAACTGTGAGGCACCTCTTATCTTAAGTATCCAAAGATGCCTTTTGAATTTTAAAGGTTAAAACACAACTAGAGCGTTTAGTGTTGTACTCTAAAGAAGTATGGTTGTTAGTTGTGAAAATAGAAATGTTATTTTTCCCAGTTTAGTATCAACATTTTCAAGTGTTAGATTTGATGCCTTGTGAACAAATAATTTTATATTGTGCTTTAACTTTTAAAAAGTTATTCTTTTTTCACATGTATTCTTTGTTCAGAATGCTTAAAATAGTACTGTAGACAAGACGTTTCCAAAAATTTAAGCGTGCATATCTTTTATGTACACAGCTTAAAATCAAGAATATATGTTCTTAGAGAATTTTTTTCCATTACTTGTGGATCTTGCTTTAAAATTATTTTCCTTAATATTTATTTTACTTTATTTTGTTATTTTCTTTGGGTGAGGCATCTGGTTACTGGTTATTTTAATAAGAATAAAAACATTCCTGGAATCACTCCCTTTGGATTTTTTGTTTATTTCCTGCTTTTCTATATTTTAAAAAATTTTTACCAAATATAAAAATATATAGATTCATGCCAAATTATTAGCTATTTTTACACTAAATTTCTGTATTCCCTCTGAAAGTTTATCTCGTTTGAGTAACCAGATAAAGCACAAAAGAATGAATTCTTGTTCTTCAATTAAAAGAGCTTCGGTATTGGCATTGATAATAAATGTCTTTTGTAGCCAAAACCAGGTGTCTCAACCTTATGTTTTTAGTTAAAGAAATGTTTAACTAAACATTGTTAAACATTGATTTTTTGGTACCCAAAACAGCAGTGGACGATGTCGTGCAATAATCATCTACTATAGTCAAGATATTCAGTAGTTTGTTTTTCCATAAGCATGTAATTGATCATATTTCTGCCAAGGATGTGCCTTCAACTTTATAATTATAGTATTGTAAAAAAAAATGGTTTTTGTAAGTGTCTCTTTTGTTAAATCATCTAACTCCTCTACCTGCAAGCAGTTCCAAACTACTCTGTGTTTTTAGGGCTTTTTTTTTTTCTGTTAACAATGGGACAGGATTGGAGGAAGCGCCGTGCATTTGCTAAGAGTGGCTGGGAAGAAGTCTGTTTTCCTTCAGACTCCACTTCCCCTGCTGCAGCATTTAGTGAGAATGAGAAACAAAGAAAGGAATATAATTGTCCTCCCTGCCTTTGTAGTCTCTAACACATTCTTCATAGATTGTCTACACCAAATGAGCTAAACGGAGACGAGAGCTTTTCTTGCATTTGGGGAGCCCTATACAAGGTGTTCGAGGATCCCACCCAAAATACATCCCCATACCGAACGCTTCTTTGAGTTAAGGAAGGGTTTTAAACTTATTTGTAAGGAAAAACTAATTTTCATCTCCCCTCCGCCCCCCCCCCACCGCCGCACACACACACACAAATCCTTGGGATGTTTTTTGGGTGATGAGATAGGATTGGAAATAGAAACGTAAGAGTAAAACCCCCGAGACTTCCTCTTAGCTGGCCAACCTCCCTGTCCTGTTGGCGTCTTGATGAATCTCCGAGAAGGACGTGCAGTGATAGCAACATCCCAGCTGAGATTTCAGAACTTTCCAGACAAAAACAAAACAAAAAACCAGGAAACCTTCCTTTAGGGACTGCTTGCTGGGTTAAGGCATCTGCTAAAATTAAAACAGACACCAGAGAGCTAGAGCTGCCTTTTTCACAAATTTGGCCAGGGCCAGTGAGCCCTACTTGGTTAAAGGCTGCCTCTTCATAGATGTGACCGCTAGTTGTAGAAATGAATTCAAAGTGAAAGATGAAAGGCAACGCTCTTGAGGACAAGGTGTAAGTGAAGTTGCTAGTATAAATAGCATCTCATGCAATTTAACAAATCTGAAAACTTGCATACAGTCGGTCCTATCTCTGGAAAAGTTTGAAATAGGCTGAGTAGTCTTTAAGGCACTATGTACCTATTACCCTCGACTGGCCCCCAGCTTTTCATTGTCAGACCCTGTCCGCCACCCCGAGGCCTGTCTATAAACTGAAGAGCTGCCATTATATTAACATTACTTGCTTCACTTCACCCAATAAAAACTTCAGTTTCTTCATTGCAGTTATTATCACCAAGTAATAGGAGGAAAACTAAGATTAAGTTAATCCATCCTAAAGTGCCAATGACCTTTAGATCTGGCTGGAAGTATTTGAAAAGGCTATTTTTTAATCCAAATAACTTTATCACTATTGTAATGAAAAACATCAAGCCATGTGGAAGAAGTTATTTTGGGGCAAGCAGACCCTAGGATCAGCTCTCCTAAGCTCTTCTTGCAGCTTTTTACCTTCCACTTTTGTATCCACTGTTTCTTTAAAAGTGCTGCATCCCCGTAGTGATGGGAATAGCACTGATTTTGGAGCCCATCAGTTCTATTTGCAAAATCCCAGTTGTCACTTACCTGCTGGGTGCATTCGTTTCCTATTGCTGCTCTAACAAGTTGAAACAAAACAAACTTATTATTTTACAGTTCTGGAGGTCAGAAGTCTGAAATGGGTCTCAGGGCTAAAATCAAGGTGTCAGCAAGGCCGTATTCCTTCTGTAGGCTCTAAGAGGAATCCAGGTCATTGCCTTTTTCAGCTTCTAGAGGCTACCTACATTCCTTGGCTCGGGGCCCCTCCCTCATATCGCTCCAACCTCTTGTTTCCATCGTCACGTTTTCTACTGTTGTCTCTGACCCTTCTGTCTCCCTCTTATAAAAACCCATGTGATTACATTGGGTCCACTCAGATAATCCAGAATAATTTCCCCATTTCAAGGTCCTTAATCATATCTGCAAAGTCCCTTTTGCCATGTAAAAACATATTTACAGGTTCTGGGGGTTAGGATGTGGGCATCTTTGAGGGACCATTCTTCTGCCTACCACAGTGATCAGGGGCAAGTTGCTTAACCTAACTGAACCTCCGTTTCTTCAAGTGCAAAATGAGGATAATAATACCTACCTTGCAGAATCGTGAGCTTCTTAGTAATTGACGTAATGTTTCCAAAGTGCCAGAAACAATGGTGAATGGTTGCTGCTGTTATTTCCTCGGCCTGAGCATTGGGATAGAAAGACAAACTAGCCACAGCCACTTGGTTATGTAGGTCTGTTATTGGTGTCGAGCTGAGTTGCTAATTCCCTATTCTGAAGAGAGCTGCTTTTGCTGAAGGAAGGCCCCACGTTGCATGATTTAAGGAACACCAAAATAGCAGCCTGCTTGCCCCAAATCCTCTCTACACCAATCGCATTCCTTTGAGTCCTTAAACTTAGCAAATGTTAGCTTTCCCTTTTCCTCCATAATTGTTACTCTTCATGTTTGTGCCAGTTCAACTAAAATAACACCCCCACATTGAAGTATAGCCGCGTGCATTCTTAAATTTAGCACCATAGGTGTTGGGCAAAGTCCTTATTTCAAATAGTCACAGTGAACCAGCTGTTTCTGTTCAAAATAAATACTCTGTTCCTTATTAGGTTGAACCACTGGCAGTAACCGTTTCCCAGCTGATCACATTTTGCCTGTATTGCCTGAGACCAGGCTTCAGTAATGCCTTAAAACCTTGCTACTCAAAGGGTGGTCCCCAGACCACCAGCATCAGCATCACCTGGGAGCTCGCGAGAAATGCAGTCAGGCCCCACCACAGATCTGCTGAACCAAAACCTGCCTGTCAACAGGATCCCCAGGTGATTTGTATGTGCATTCAAATATAAAAAGCACTGCCTTAAAACATTTATTCTCCCCATGCTTTGGGATGAGGTGTAAACGCCTACAAATCTGTCAAGGACTCACATCTTCTAGCTGCTCTCTCTCCCTCTCTTTCTCCAATAAGCTCTGGGCAAAAGTTAACTTTTGCCCAGATACCCAAGTTCAAATACAGATTCATTCATTCATTCATCCATGCATTCATTCAATGTTAGACAAATATTTATCGAATATTACTGTGGATGAGACATTGTCCTAAGTGCTCATGATAACAGAAGCGAATAAAACATAAAAAAACAAAGGCAGAAAACAAAACACTGCCCCCAAGGGGCTTAGATTCTGATGTGAGAAGATGGACAGTAAAAAAAATATTGAGTGTGTTAGGTGGTAATGCTTGCTATGGAAAAAATAAACAGAGAAGGAGCCGTAGGGGGTATTGGGGAGGGGGCTCCAATTTAAAATAAGGTGGTCAGAGAAAGCCTCACTGAAAAGCTGACATTTGAGGAAATACTTGAAGGAAGTGAGGGAGCTTGCCACAGAGAGACATGAGGGAAGAGCATTACAGGCAGAGGCACAGTATGGAACATACTTATACTAAAAAATTATGTTGCTTATCTGAAATTCACATTTACCTGGGTGGCCTCTATTTTATCTGGCAACCCTAGTTAGGAGGCTATGGCAATAATCCAGGAGGGTGACAATGGTGGTAGCTTAAGCCAAGGTGGTAGCAGTGGAGGTGGTTATGTTTTGAATGTTGAGACAACAGGAGTTCTTGTTTCCTCATGGGTCGCCTATGAGGTATGAGAGAAAGAGAGAAGTCAAGGATGACTCCAAGATTTTTGGTCTAAGCATTAAGATGGCTGGAGTTGCCATTTACTAAAATGAGGAAGACAGTAGATGGAATAGTTTGGTTTGGGAGGCAGAGGAGAGAGAAAGTTCAAAAGTTCAGATTTAGACATAATTTTGATATCTCTATTAGGTATCCAGAGGAGATGTCAAGTAGGCAACTGGATATATGAAACTCAAATTAAGGGAAGATGTCTAGGCTGAAATGATAAATTTGGGCATTTCAAAAATGCAAAACTTTTCCATTTCAATGGATGAGATTTCTCTGCCATACGCCCCAATACTTTGACATCTCTTGTTATCCTCACTGTAACCCATGTAATCTGTAGTTTATAGCTAAAGGAAATCGAGTTTCTCAGTTTATAGATGAGGTGGTGACTTTGTCCTGTGTCACCTTCGGTAAACTGGAACTATATTTCGCAGAATTCCCTTCCCTATATGGGTTGGGTTAGGATTAGCTACAAGACACATTTTCTGTGAGATTTAGAAGGCAGAAGTGAAGTTGCAGCCATATGTTTTTTACTCCCGGAAGGTCAGTGCGGAGCCCCAGTCACTGTGGTAGCTTGCTCAAGTTGCTGCTGGTCTCCTGGCTCACCTTGTTGGTGCGGGGCAGCACCCAGACCCACGGCTCATCTAGCTGCCACCGGACCTCTTCCTTCAGCTTCTCTAAGGCCAGGTTCAAGTGCAAGTGTAGTTTTGTGCTGCAGGGCACCAGCTTCTCCTGTGGTCACCCACATCACTGAGATTGGAGATGCGAGAGACAGACACGGGTTTTGTTTGTCCTCCTGGGTTCTGGTTGTCCTCATGGGTTTCAGTTTGTCCTCACAGGTTGCAGTTTGTCCTTGTTCTCATTAACAGCCAGTTTTCCTCCCTGACTGCCTTTCTGGCAGACCTACAGCCACTGCAGACTCCACAGTAGATGCAGAAGCAACAACCCACGTAAACCGCTCCACCAGCTCCCACAACTGTGGTAAGGTCTGACCCCATAATAAATCCCTTGTTCTATATCACTCGTAGCAGTTCTGCTTCTCTGAATTCTAATCCATGCAGATGAAAAAAACACAGGCAGTGAGAAGTAAGATGACTTAGGTTGACTCAGTGAGTCAGGCCCAAAACAGATGTGCCCTGTCCAGAGTGTTTCTACGGCCTAAGAAAAAACTCAGGATCTGGTGGTTAGAAATTGCAATAATGCTAAACGATACGTTCACTCCAGGCTGCTGGTTGCCCCTATTCTACAGGGCTTAAGGCCCACTGCCACCCACAAGCAGCTCAAGAGCCTGTGTGTGTCCTCACGTCTCTCTTAAGCACCCTGGGCTCCAGAGCAGCTTGAGGGCTGTAGTTTTTCAGCTATAGATAAAGTTTGTGAAAGCTGGTATAAAGTAGAAGAAGCTAATGTCCAGGAGAAGACAGAATGCAGGGGTCATTCTATTAAAGCTGCCGTTCGAAGATTTCAGTATTTGTATATAACATTTAAATAAGTACATAAATGATTTTTTATTGTTTTTCTTTTTTCAAATGAAGCCACTTGTAATTCACCACTTAGAGACAACCACGGCAACGTCATGGTATGTATCCTTTCAGTTGGTTCCTTTGTGTGTAAGTAAAGCTAAACAGAGGTGGTTTTTAACCTGTGGCTGAGTGATGGGGGAGATGAAAATGAGGAGCAACTAATTTTGCTTTCTTTTAAAAAAATTTAAAAAGTGGGAATTGTATATATTTAAGGGGTGCGACATGATGATTTGCTATACATATACATAGTGAAATGATTACTACAGTCCAGCTAATTAACATATCTTCTCACATAGTTACCATTTTTTTGTGGTGAAAACATTTAAGATCTACTCTTAGCAACTTTCAAGAATACGATACGGTATTATTAACTACAGTCACCATGCTGTGCATTAGCTCTCTAGACTTACTCATCCTATGTAACTGCAACTTTGTACCCTTTGACCAACGCCTCCCCATTTCCCCACCTCCCTGCACCTGGTACCCACCCTTCTACTCTTGAGCAGCAACTGATTTTTAACTCTCTGGAAGTAGTCATCCAACCTAAAGAACTTGACCCTCTGACATTCATTGGCTTATTTAGCTATAGCTTTTTGCATTAGAAAAGCAATTCTGGGCACCAAATTATTTTAAAAGGAATTCAACTTTTAGGGACAAAGCCAAAGAATTTCCCCAAGAAAAAAAATTGATTAGCATCCAACAAGCTAGGTAGATGCAGATGAAACTGTAGTGCCCCTCTTCTGCGGCCTTGGGGACATGCAGGAGCAGGTGGTTGAGATGAATATAAGACAAGTCAACTTTCTGTCAACCTCTTCTTGGGAAGAAAAAGGGATCTTTGCTCAAACTATGTTCTTGTACTTTTCATTTCCACGCTACTTGGTTAGGAAATGTACCTAAAAGATGACTTTCTTTTTTTTCAAGGGAGATTAGCCCTGAGCTAACATCCGCTGCCAATCCTCCTCTTCTTGCTGAGGAAGATTGGCCCTGAGCTAACATTTGTGCCCATCTTCCTCTATTTTCTATGTGGGACGCCTGCCACAGCATGGCTTGATGAGCGATGTGCAGGTCTGTGCCTGGGATGCAAACCAGTGAACCCCGGGCTGCTGAAGCGGAGTGCACGAACTTTGCTATACCACTGGGCTGGCCCCAAGGATGACTTTCTAATAGGCTGTTCTGCATGTTGCTCGACCTTCCTGCCTGATGCTCCACTGTCACCATCAGCTGAACACCGCAGGGGTGCGGCTGCCTGAGAACAACCTGAAGAAACTCCTCTCCTCTGGCCAGTGTAAGACCCATTTGCCTGTCAACCAGGGACTGCTCCCCACCATTAGAAATGTACTTTTGACCTTGCTAATTCTAGAAAATAGTCAAGGTATTAGTAACTGAACTGAGCAAATCCATTTTTAAAAGAGAACTCATAATTAATCTTATCCCTACATTTGGCAGAAGGGTGAAGTTAAGTGTGTATTAACTGGCAGAATCCTAAAATCTTGTAGGCTCTTAACATATGATTTGATTACCAACTGCTTAGGTGGTTTGGTTGATATCATGGAAGATACCACAGGAGGTTTCTGTTGTCACTATTCCAATGGTTGTCCCAGCTAACAAAGATAAGATTAAAACTACTACTATCTTCTTCTGCCTCTTTTGAGTACCTCTCTAACTTTGTTAAATAGAGGCTGATTTCTGAAGCAACAGAGAATAAATTCTGTCACGTTAGCTTATTTGAAAGCCACTGCTCGCGTCGTCCTCTCCCCCGTCTCCTTTACAGGCCGACCCTGGCCGGTTCTGCCGGGTGTTCCTCACATGAAGTGATTGCCGTGCTCTTTAACATCCTGCCGGGCTTCCTGGGAAGTCCATTTTGTTAAAGTCCTTCGTGTAATGTGGCTCTCAAAACTATTATGGGCTTGCCGATGTCCAGTAAAGTGGAAGTATCTGCAGTAGCTTCTGAGGGCAGCTTTGTTACTGTCTGGTTCATGTTGAGTTTTCAGTCAACTAAAACCCTAAGTATGCTTCAGGTTGGTTGCTGTTAAGCCAGTTTTCCACAATAACGTACTTTTGGAATTGATATCTTGAAACACACTGTTCATACTTCTCTTATAGCATTTACCAATTTTTTATTATCTGTTACCTATGGAGGGCAGAGACTAAATTCCATTCATCTCTGGCGTGATTAACACATATCAAGTTTGTGGGATGAAAAAGTTCAGCCTTTTGAATTTATCTCAATTAAATTGCATAATTTTAATCTGTCTAGTTTTGAATCTTGACTTTGTTATTTAATGTATTTACCGTGCTCTCCAGCCTTGTGTCATAAGCAAATTGATTAGCAAGCTTTCAGTGTCTTCAAACTCACTGATAAAAATGTTGATTTAAGGAACACCAGAGGATGAAGTTTTGTAGCAAGCAACTAAAGACCTTTTCCAGGCTGAGACTGCTACATTAACAGATCCCATTATAAGATGTGGGTATACCCAACTCCACTATCCTATACCCCATCTCTCGCCATCTCGGGCGCAAGACTTTATCAGATGCCTTGTTGAGGTCAAGATTCATGCTAAGTATATTAGTTTTCTATGGCTGCTATAACGAATCACCATACTTTTCTGGTTTAAAACAACACAATTTATTATCTCACAGTGTTGTAGGTCAGAAGTCCAATACAGATCTCCCTGAGGTAAACTCAATGTGTCGGCAGGGCTGTGTTTCCCTCTGGAGGCTATAGGGGAGAATCAGTTTCCTTGCTCATTTGAGTTATTGGCAGAATGCAGTTCCTTGTGGTTGTCGGATTGAGGTCCCCATTTCCTTGCAGCCTGTCAGCTGACAGCCATTCCAGCTTCTTGAGGCCAGCCACATTCCTTGGGTCATGGCCTCGTTTCTCCATCTTCAAAGTCAGCAATGGTTGGTCAAGTCGCACTCAGGCTTCAAATGTCTCCTGCCTCTTATGTCACATCTCTCTGACTGCAGCCAGGAAAGGTTTTCCACTTCTAAGGGCTCTTGTGATTACATTGGGCCCACACAGATAATCCTGGATAATCTCCCTATTTTAAAATCAGCTGATTAGCAATCCTAATTCTATCTGCAAAGTCCTTTTTGCCATGTAAGGTAACATATTCACAGGCCTAACACCAGAAAGTGAGCCTCTCGGAGGCCAAGATCCTGCCTACCACACGAGTTTCCCAACTTTTAGTCATCTGAGGACAACCTTCATCATTTTTGTCATATTTGCGTACCACTTGTACTATTAATTACTGAACTTTTTCTGTAAATCACTTTAAAAAATTTCAATACTTATTTTTATCACAAGCAGTAGTAGCAAAGAATTCACGGATTTGATGTTAATTTTCTCCAAGACACATTAAAATAAAACCCATAATTACCAAAATAGAAAATGTTCGTGTATGTACCACCTAAAATCATCTTGCCTTATGCCATACTTTGGAGACTGCTGAATTGTGTCAGAGGCGTTTCTTTGATATGCTAGCTCAGTGACCTTACCACAAGAAGAAATAAGATTAGTGTTCTTTGTGATCCTGTATTGGTTTCTGTTAATCACCACTTTCTGTTTAAATATTCATAAGCCATTTTTTTAATGATCCAGGTTGAATTTTACAAGGAATTGGCTTCAAACCTACTGGTCTCCAGTTGCCAAAATTTGCCAGTTTGCCCTTTGAGAATCAAGGCATTTCCTGTCTTCAGTCTACCGATGCCTCTCTCCCAAATTATAAAATCTCCATGTTTCCACGTGGGAGTTCTTCAATCTCATTTTGTCCATTCTTTCAGTCTCCAAGGCTAGAGGTTTGACCTCCTTGATCAGTGTTCTCTCTTTAACTCCTCCCTTAGGTTAGACTTCAGTTTTCTCCTAAATACATTTCACCTCCCTATTTCCATAGGAAGTCTATTCTTTTTGATAGAAAAGAAAGAAGATAGAAACTGGGTAGGTCTTCTTTTTGTCTGTCGTTGGCAGCAGTGTACTCTCTGTACCCTTCTTTTCTCTGGTAGCTCAGATTATAGAGTAAAAAGCCTTTTACTTTGTTTTGTTTTCTTTAACCAGTTTTGCAAGTCACAGCTAATTCTGAGCTTTAGTTTTTCTGACACACTGTAGGTGTCTCTGTGCCATTCCTTTATATTCACCACAGGTTACATGTCTCTCCTGACCATTTCCTAATTTTCTGACTGAGTTCAGAGAGTTACCTATGTCATCATTTTAGTTTCTTAAGATACTACCCATCATTGTTTCTCTTCATCAGGATAATTTTTGACTGTGTTCCAGATGTGGGGTGTTTTTATCCTCAAATTCTGTTCCAGTCATATTCTTTTTTAGAGTCCCTGGCTAGGAGAGTATACATAGGGGCCGGCCCGGTGGTGCAGTGGTTAAGTTCACACGTTCTGCTTCTCGGCGGCCCAGGTTTCGCCGGTTCAGATCCCGGGTGCGGACATGGCACCGCTTGGCAAGCCATGCTGTGGTAGGCGTCCCACATATAAAGTAGAGGAAGATGGGCATGGATGTTAGCTCAGGGCCAGTCTTCCTCAGCAAAAAGAGGAGGATTGGCGGCAGATGTTAGCTCAGGGCTAATCTTCCTCAAAAAAAAAAAAAGGAGAGTATACATATACCTAACTCTTCCCTAAACTTTTTGAAATTTGCTTTCATAATATCAAGGCTACATGTATAAATGAATCCAATATTCTTTTTTTTTTTTAAAGATTGGCACCTGAGCTAACAACTGTTGCCAATCTTCTTTTTTTTTATTCTTCTCCCCAAAGCCCCCCAGTACATAGTTGTGGATTCTAGTTTTGAGTACTACTGGTTGTGCTATGGGGACGCCGCCTCAGTGTGGCCTGACGAGCGGTGCCATGTCTGCGCCCAGGATCCGAACCGGCAAAACCCTAGGCCGCCGAAGCAGAGCACGTGAACTTAACCACTGGGCCCCGGGGCTGGCCCCTCCAATATTCTTTTCTTTGACTTCTGAACTCAAAACCAACCAGTTCTTCTCTTTTGGTCAAAAGCCCAGAATGAGTATTCCTTTCATATTTTTTGAGAAAGAAAGTTGTTAGCAGCTTAATTCAAAAACATATCATTGTTTTAATTTGTATTTCTTTGATTACCAGTGAGGTAGGATCGTTTCATAATTTTAAAAACCATTGCTGTTGTCTGTGTATGTGTGAGTGTGTGTGTGTGTGTGTGTGTGTGTGTGTGTAGGATGTCTATCATTTCTTTGCCAATTTACCTATTCTGGCCTTAGTGTATTTTCCTTATCAATTTGTATTTCTGTAGTAAGATTATTAACCTTTTGTTAGATTTGTCACAAATATTTCCTCTGGTTTTCTGTTTGCTGGTATAGTCTAAGTTGTTGTACCTTTACTGTGGTGCGATTTGGCAATGTATATCAAGGTGAGAGTTTACCAGTGTTCAAACCCTTTGACCCAGAGATTCCATTTCTAGAAATCTATTCCAAGAAAATAATTTAAAGTGAGACAAAGATTTATTCTCAGAGGTGTTCTTTGTGAGATGCCTAGAGGTTATCATTCTTGAGTTATTAGTCGTAATCTAGAAAATAAAATCCTGTGTTTTTTTCTCTTTTTAGAAATTGTGGTAAAATATATATAACATAAAATTGACCATTTTAACCTTTTTTTTTTTTTGAGGAAGATTAGCCCTGACCTAACTGCTGCCAATCCTCCTCTTTTTTGCTGAAGAAGCCTGGCCCTGAGCTAACATCCATGCCCATCTTCCTCTACTTTATATGTGGGACACCTACCATAGCATGGCTTGACAAGTGGTGCCATGTCAGCACCCGGGATCCGAACCGGCGAACCCCAGGCCACCGAAGTGGAATGTGTACACATACCGCTGCGCCACCAGGCCGGCCCCCTTAACCATTTTTAAGTATACAAGTCAGTGGCGTTAAGTACATTCACATTGTTGTGCAACCATTACCACCTACCATCTTCAGAACTTTGTTTTGCCTTGTAAAACCAAAACTCTGTACTCATCCCCATTCCCTCCCTTCCTCCCCTCTGGCAACCACCATTCTACTTTCTGTCTCTATGAATTTGACTACTTTATATACCTTGTATAAGTGGAATCACTTAGATGATTTGTGATTTGACAAAGACAGTATTTGTCTTTTTGTGACTGGCTTATTTCACTTAGCATGATATCCTCGAGGTTTATCCATGTTACAGAATATGTCAGAATTTCCTTCCTTTAAAGCTGAATAATATTCCATTGTATGTATACACCACATTTTGTGTATCTATTCGTCCATCAGTAGACACTTGGAT